ACTTTATCACCTACCTAGAAAGCATTCGATCGTGCCGCTTGATGCATCTTATAAAAAAAGCGTGCATCACTTAATATCGATTTCCTGATTGCCCAAGCGCCTTCACTTCGAAATTTATTGTCATTGTGCCATATATTCTGAAATATCCAATGTAACCGATCAAATCATTCTGAATAGTGCCTTTTATAACATTGTGAAGTGGTGTGATTTCTGGCAGATGTCAATTAACTTCGATAAAACAGTATTTATACGAATAACCCACAAGAAAAAACCCCTACTATTTAATTATTCCACCGCAAGTTTCACCCTTTCTGAGGTAACTAACATTAAGTATCTTGGCCTTTGGATTACCAATGACCTTAGCTGGACTAAACATATTGACTCCGTAATTACAAACGCTAACCGAAAGCTATTCTTCCTTCGAAGAGCTCTAAAACATTTTAATTTCACGGTGCGTACTCTAGCGTACAGGACTATCATTCGCCCAGTGTTAGAATATGGAGTGATTGTTTTGGACCCCTTCACTAAAGCTAACATAACTAAATTGGAAAACGTGCAGGAAAAGGCAGTCCGCTTTATCTTTAATAGCTTTGGACGCACCTCTATAACTGAACTCCTACATCATGACAATGAGCCTTCAGTTACCGAGAGAAATCGTTTAATACGACTACAATTTCTATACCAAATAATTAAAGGGCATTACAAGCTTGATGTTTCCAATATCATTTCCTTTTCTTCTGGGTACGCCACCCGCCAAAGGCATCAACTTACAATAACCCCTTTCCGGTCCCGAAATAACTGCTTCAAATATTCCTTTTTTCCTCGTACAGTAACTCAGTGGAATAGACTAACTAATAACCAAGTGATGGAGCCGTCCTTAAAGTTGTTTGCAGCAAATTTGACCTGATTGTTCACATCATGCCGTTCTATTTTTTGTTTGTTTGTTTGGTTTATGCATTCTTGAGTGCCAACATTGTGAAAATTATATCTGTAATCACCCTGCTAAAATCTCTGTAATAGGGATTGCAGTATGAATAAATAAATAAATAATAATAAATAAATAAATTTCGTAGACAGTTTCCAAGTGGCGGCACAGGTTCTCGCAGATTACGAAAATGGCGGTACCTGTGTCCATATGCGCTCGTGTGGCAGTCCCTTCAAGACTGGCGTCGATAACGTTTTTCAACGAAGAAAAAAAATATGGAGGCCTTGGGCAGTTCGACTCACATGCAGCTCTTGCCTCCGGAACTGCCGCGATCAGTGTCCCCATTCCGTATACAGTACAGGTCGACGACGATTGTGTGTGTTGGGGAGCGTTGTCGGGGAGACGGTGACCGGTGGTTGGCGTATAGGGTCGTCTCTGCGAGTCAATGAATTCAGCCGAATTTAGAGTCGCTGTTAGATTTGGGTGAATTCTACTATGCCACAATAATTACTAAAAGCCGCTTGTTCTATACCTCAAAGCTTGGATGTGTTCTCCTAATGAGGAACGTCTATTTCCCAATTTATAAGCGCCTGACGAAGGACACGAGCGCTCGTGTCCTTCGTGTCCTTCTTGTCTCTGTGTCATCAATTTGTTCTCGCGCTATAACTACCGTAATGACATAGCAACTAGCTCAAGCTGCCACACTTATAGCCACCTAAATCCGTTCATTAAAGTTTAGTTAAATCACCTTTTATAACTACGATCCCAAAGGATGACATTAAGACTGCGAGTATATATATGAAGTAATTGTGTAGGCAGTGAGCAAATATCGCATTTTTTTATTTTGAGAATTCTAAACAGATTTCTTGGAACACCCAGCATTCTAGGCGCGATAGTAGTGGTTCGACTCATGCAAAAAGTGTAATTAAACGAACATTAGATGCGCTTGGCAGGTTTCGGATAGACGGACGGATGGATGAACGCGTGGAGAGAGAGAGAGAAAAAAAAACTTTATTTGCGCATAACGCGGAGCATTCCAAATGGTCGGGTCCCTATTCCAGGGCTCCGCTGGCCCTAGCCATCATCTCTACCCGTTGGATCAGCAGCGCTGATCAACAATTGATAGGATGCATTGACGGGTGGACAGACGGACTGGCGTGGATGATCAGGAATTCAACATTGTATAGTTGATTACATATATAAAGTCGGTTGGTTACTCGTATATTTTCGTTCTTTGTTGTGCAGGTGTTCAGTCTCGGTTCGGATTTTACTGTGTGTGATGGATGCCAGCTATGAGACGGCCCTGAGGATCTTCGCCTCTAAAAGCTGCCATCGGCAGCGTTGAGCCATCGAACGCATATAGAATAACTGTCATGGCCCCAGCAGGAATCGAACTCAAGCATTCTGTATGGCAATAAAGTTTTCTACCACGGAACCTCGCCAGGTCTTCGAAGCTGCTTTTCAAGTAGACCGCTATGTTCGTGGAAGGTCAGCTGTGGTTGTGGTGCTGGCTATCCAATTCTTGCAAACAGTAATACAAACGCACCCCATACAGCCGTCATGTCGGGTCAACGTCGATTGTATTTAAGCGCCATTCACCGAAGCTCATTTATCTAGCAGTGTCTATAGGGCCGCCATCCTCGCTGGCACAAGCGCTACACGCCAGGCTACCGCTTCTGGAGTCACCCATATGCCTCTGTTGGCATCATTACGGAACAGTAAACATGCGGCTGCTTCAACATGTCTGGGCGTACAGCATTTGTACCGATATTTAGCGTCATTTTATAACGTATCGCTCAATAAATTACTTACAACGCAGTCACCATTCCCTCCGCACGCTTTGCATAACATCGATTGCCAAAGTACGCGGCATCTGCCGAATTTCATCAGTTTGGTTTAGGTATTCTGTGTTCTACATGCATGTGACACGGCTACTATATCAGGGTCGCCTTGGTAAAGTGGAACATGAAGAAACTTGGTGAATACTAGTGAATACTGGATATTCACTAGTCGTCCTCCTCCTCCGTATGTATGTATGTATGTATGTATGTATGTATGTATGTATGTATGTATGTATGTATGTATGTATGTATGTATGTATGTATGTATGTATGTATGTATGTATGTATGTATGTATGTATGTACGCATGCACGCACGTACGTACGTACGTAGCCACCGGTGGCACATACCCACTCTCTAGAGTGGGTACGTGTCACATGGTTCGCCAAACGGACAGACTGACTAGCAGATGGACGGACGGATGGACGGACGCGCGGACGGACAGACGGATGGACGTACTCATGGACGGACGTACGCACAGACGGACGGACGCATGGGTTGATGCACGTATGGTCGCGCGGGCGGACGGAAGCAAGAAAGAACAGACGGACGGAAGCACGGACGGGCTAACGGACGCTACGCTCCACTAATCATCATTCACTCCGTGAATATGCTGTGATTTTTTTAGCCAAGCGTTACGATGTGAATTGACATGTTTCTATAAGCGTAGTAGTTGTGAGATCATCGTGCACCTACCTCGAACGTCGATTACAGTGGCGTTTCACCAGGATTACCGTTGGTGGATACTGTACGCCAAACTGGCTACTTTAAGACCATGCACCTGGCGACAAAAACTTGATGTTGGCACCATGCCTACTTTTTGGCTCCTTTGAAATCCTGTTCTGGCTCATTTAAAAGCCAATTTTCTCATTACTTACAAGTCAAACAATGATCTAGGCTAAAGAGCCCTCGCACATCAACTCGCCCGTGCAGCAAGCTGATGCACTCCCACGCATTCCCACGAAACGCACGGTGCACCTGCAACGTAGGATATTGGGGAGTTTTTTAATAGGGGCGCCATAGGTTTGGTGCTCCAAAGCCCATTGCGTGTGTTCTCTTTGGGTCAAGCAGGAGAGTTTTCTCATAGGGCCTGTGGTACTTTGGATACTCCTCTCTATTTAGGTCACTCTACTATATTAGACGCACTTCAGTGGGTGTTATTACGTTTGCCTTTCCCAAAAATTTTTTGGGCAGACTTTGGGTCTCCCACTAAATTCGAGAAATAGCGTCCCCGATGCAAGACTTAAACTATACCCAAATACTAGTTTGGGTCTCGAGCATGCACCACGTCCTCGAGGCGATTTCTTTGGGGCCTCAAAACGATTAGGGCCCCTATTTGAAGACTACCTAATTAGTAAACTCTAAACACCTTCTACGACTGAATAAATTAATCGTTCGTACCAATTCATGGTCATGGCGCTTTGCACGTTCCGGAAATTAGTCGGAAGCTGGAAGTACGCAAAAGCCTGCGCCATAGACACGTACAAATACGAGCGAAAGACAAAAAAAAAAAGGAAAGCTTCACCCGTTCTGTTTTTCATTCGCCTTCGTCCGCATTTATTTGCGCAATAAATAAGCCTTTATTATGAATGTAAAACAACTAGCCCGAGTGACACCGATGACACAAAGGACTCGGACGACTTTCGCTGAAACTCGGACGACTTTCGGACGACGTTCTCTGTGGCTGAGCCATGACAACGCCTCCTCTATTTAGGTGCCTGCCACGTGAGAAAACAAAAACAGCTGCCACACCCTTTCTCTTCTTTATTTTCGATTATTATCGGTCTTTAGCGTCACCTGTGGCGAACCATGCAACAATTCAACATTTTGCGTAGCCTCCGAAATAGTCGTGTATAGTAGCAGATTTTGAATGACCCTCGAGTAACATGCCCCTAGGCGCACAAGTAAAAAACGCTGTGATAATAGATAAATGGATGGATAAGTCACTGACCTCCACTAGGGAGCAAAACTAGTGGAGGTCAGTGGAATAAGTATGGCTATACCCTTTAGATTGGGTGGTGGCTAGCGCCATCAAGCCGTAATACTTAATAAATTAAAAATTAGACTTATTTTTTTGTTTTTCCTTGAATAATGAGGTTGAGGATTCGTACTTTGCAGTGAATAATAGTGTCAGTCGCGAGCCCCACACACGGCGCTTGCTCAAAACTGAAGGCAAGGCGTCTCCGCTGGAAACAGGAGCCATTCAGAAGGCGTTGGCTACGAATACGAAGCCAAGCCCAACCAAGCCTAAATCGTCTGCACGTCTCGACTCGAATAAAAAAACGACCCTTGGGAATGGTTTCGCCCTGTGTGGCGCTAAAACATGTTGATTGGAAACGAAATTGAGTGATACTGAGAGCTGAAATTCTTTCACACATCATACTGAGCGCCCTATCGTCTTAAAGTAAGTAATCATGGCGGAGAAAACCGGTGATATCGACGAAGAGCCGCCACGAAAACCGGTAAGCGTGTATCTTGGGAAGCATGTTTAGTATGTTGAGCATCAACTTAATGCAAATAAGCGATCAAGGTCCTGTGACTCACTGTGGCCTGCCGATTCTCAATTTCGAAAGCAGTGCCTGAACAAGCACGCGTTGTTCGAGGACACGGGTGGGATTTCTGGCATCTGCGGCCGCTTTTTGATGTGGCGCGAATGAGATCCCCCGTGTGCTTACGTCTGTGTGCATGTTAAATAACACCGGGCTGTCGAAATCGATCTGGAATAATATACCACAGCGTGCCTCACAATAACATCGTCATTTCGGCATCCCACAATATAAATTAATGCTAATGACGGATGCCAGACAGGCACTTTCTATCACGATCGAGCCCCGTTCAGGATCGAAATTCTCAACAGCGATTGGCTTAAGCTTCTTCACCCACTCCGCACGTGAGCCAATCGCGATCAAGAAACTCTATACCAACTGTGCTCGATCGCGTATCGCGATAAGAAGATCGAAGTTCTGGACACTTGGCTTAGCTTCCTCGCCCATTCTGCACGTGAGCCACCCGCGATAATGAAATGTATCTTTAATCGCGCTCGACCGTGATAGCACGATTGAAGTTCCCGACCATGAACTTGGTTTCCTGTCCCATCATGGACCCAAGCCAATCGCGATCAACAAACTCGTTCCCAATCGCGCTCGAGTGCAATAGCACGGTTAAAGTTCTGGACACCACTTGGCTACCTGTACCATCTTGCACGTAAGCCAATTGCGATAAAGAAACCTGATTCCTCTGTCGCTCTACCGCGATAGCAGGATCTAAATTCTAGACACTCGGCTTGGCTTCATCACAATATTGCACATAAGCCAATAGCAATCAAGAACCTCGGTCCAAATTGGGGTCGATCTCGATCTAAATGCCGCTGTGTGGCAATTCTTCAAGACTTTGGAATGTATGACCGTGTGTATTGATTATTATCTCTTCAGGTGATGTTCATGGGTCGCAACATAGAAGAAATACCGTGCTTCCGGTCCAGCTTAATGACTGGTATTCTCAGCGGACTTGGCATAGGAATTGGCACATTTTTCTTGACTAGTGAGTGTTACAGTGTGCTGTTTCACTGGCTTGTATAGTAGCCTTTTATAAAGATGTCAGAAGCCTACGTGTTTGGCCAACGTCTCAATGCCTGATGAGTTGGCTGTTCGTTATATGCATTTAATGTAAAAGTGCTCAGACAGCAAAATTTCTTATTCTAAAGCATGCTTTATTAGCTGTGTACTTGGCGTTTTTTACTGTTAGTGAGAACTTATATTCATAAAATACTTATGCAATTACAAAACAGTTATATGTAGCTTTAAATGTGATTATTGATCGGATTCTATAAGTGTCATAATTTTTGTTTGGTGTAATTAGCTATTGTACCATTGATATTGCTGGTCTAGGCATTTTACATTTTATGCCTATAGGATTAATAAATTGCATATAAAAATCATGTACAGAGGGATTTTAGTATAGTATCCTGATCTTGAGACCCTCTTCTGTATATCCTTAACATTATAATCATAGAATGTAAATGACTGAATGTTTGATTGATTGGACCTTGGTGTAAATACTGAATGTTCTGCAGTTTCCAGACAAACTGAAATACAAAGGCTGCGCTGAGCCATGTTATTTGTCAGATCCAAGATGTGCACAGCATTGTGTGGAGGCTGGCATGGCACTGGCATTGTTGCTTTTACAGTATGGCTAAAGTAAATATAAGCATTGAAGTGTATTGTTTTAATAACATACCTCATACGAATCGTCGTTTCTTACATTTTTGCATGTGCCTTGGGTTTCCTGTAGGCATTGGTTCCGAGTTGGGCTTAAGGGGCTTCTAGGTTTTCCAGGTGTCTTGCATATAATGAAGTACACACATGCTGTCATTCACTTTGATACAAACGGAGGACATATCCTCATTAAAGCGGCCATGAACCACTGTTTAAACTGATGATTGAACGACTTCAGTAACGAAGGTTATTGCCTCACGAATAGATTGTTGGAAAAAAGCGGGCAGTTCCTGAAATTTGTCGTGCACTTTGTCTTCTCTCGTCCCAACGAGTGTGCCTGGGAGAGATGGCAAGGGGGAAGGAAGTTAGCTTGCGCATAATGACCTTTCGTGCGCGTATGAAACGCAATCACTCTTTCCCATTGCGATCCCTGTGCATGAGTGTGGTACACTGCGTAATATTAGCATACTATAGAGCACAGCACTGGCATGTGACCGTAGCAAATTATTAAGAAGTGTGATTGATCAAAACACCGTTATGTCGACTTCTTGCCAATGGCACGCTACCAACTATTTGACGTCAAACAGTGGCCGTTTCGGGCAGCTCTGAATAGAGTGAGCATAAGCCTCTTTGAGAAAAGGCCATCTGAGATTATGGAAGCATTGCGCTTCACTTCCGATTTCTCTCTGCTGCACATGACTAGATTTGGCTGAGCTGATCAAACTGGTGTCTGCTATCTGTAGAATGTGTTTTCCCACCAAGCCCAAGGGTTGGTAGTCATCAACACTCTTGGTAATGGCTTATTTGACTTTTGTGCCATATTATGTCTCAGTACCATTAATTTATTGGAAATACCATCCTTGTCCATTATTGAAATGCAATATACTAAATTTTCAGATGCAGTTCGCCAGCAGCAATATCCTTCGGAATTTGTGTCATCGCCTGCATGTTCATTTTGTTTTTCAATCGTAGATCTGTGTTACCTTTCAGCGCGTAACATACTTTGCTTTCTTCAACAGGCAGGCCTCGGCGGTCCACAGACGCAGCTGTGTATTCGTTTGCCGGCATTACATTGCTATATTGGTAAGCCCGACATGTCAAATTTCACTGTCATTGTAGCAGCTGTTTTGACTGCTGTCATCTAAATTTCAAGAACATTTTCGCTATTCACCTTACAAATAAGTCACCTATTATCACCTTACACTAATGGCACAGACCACTGTGAGAAAAACAGTTTCTCTGTTGCAACTTGACCTTTTCACTTCAGTTTGCATCTATGTGTCTGGTAATCCCGAGGTTCAATTTTAAATGTTGTTATATACTGTATTATAATGCCTGCATCGTTGATTGTGAAAATTCTAGCATCACTTCGAAGCAGCCCGCCTGAAATCATAAGAAACCAGTGCCTATTGCCGAGAGAGTGCCTAAGATCACATGCGCTCAAGCTGTGGCAACGTTAAAAGCACAGTTTCAAAATGGGAGCCTCTCGTGCGGCAAGAATTGAAACAATGTCGGTGCTTCATTGTAAGTAAATCCTTTTAAGCGCTTCATGTGTCACAAAAAGGAAAAGCACTCCTGGTCTCAGCACTCAACACAACCCTGGGAGCAGCCAGACAACAAAGCAGGAGAGCTAAAAAACAACCCTTGCCGGGTGCCAGTCAAGGTATTGTGTTTGCCTCACAAATATTCTGTAGCACTGACAATACTCGCTTTACTCATGAAATGTCATACAAGGCCCCTATCTATGCCGTATGAGGGCGAGTCTCGTGGTGTTGCCTACACAGATGAGCTTCACGCTTCCTCTAAAACCAAATTATATTACCGTAAAGGGACCCTGCAACACCTTTTCAAGTAGTCATAGACTGGCTTCATTAAAATAGCTTATGGCCTTACGAATCTATTACCACAAAAATTGTGATAATCTGAGAAGTACGGGAGGAATTGTAAGGATTTGCAGCATGCTTCGAAATGCTCTCTCTTCTTTCGTACCAGGCAGCGCACTTAAAGCTATGCATCAGGCAATGACATTGCAGCAAGATCTGTCTGTTCATCAGGGCGCGTCATAGAGAACTTCCTCTTTGCTTTTTCTTCAAATGCATGACTTTTAGTGTAATTATGAGCTCAGCAAAAGCACATGTCAGCCGCAGTTAACTATGCAGTTCACAGTAGTCATATTAGCCAGTATCTATAAACCTTGGGTTTATAGCACAGTCATTCGTATTTATGGCATCATTTGTTGCGAGGAGGTAGAAAATTTTCAAGCAGACTTTGAGATTTAGTTGTAAATTTCAAGCTGTAAGCTGCACTATAATGTTTGGCTTGCATATCTTCAAAAGCCTCGAATACCATCAGCAGCTTTCAGTAATTGTGCTAAAATGTGTCTCAGGGCTCCTTTAAAGGCAACACTTGCCACAAAATAATCGGTCAGAAGTGTCATGTACAATGGATTATCGAACAACACAATCAAACTATAAATATGTACTTTCTGATGTGCCATATGATCACTTTCTAGCTTTTGGTGCATTTTGCATAAAATCAGTTATTCATGCAATTAGAAGGTAAAGTATACTGCGTAATTCTCTAATTTAGGCCGCTAATGGCTATATTTTAATTGAACATAGAATCTAATCATGATGTGTTATTATTAAATGTTTGTCCTCAATAATTGAAATGCTTATGCATCCAAGAAAAGGGCACATGCTGTGGTGCAGCCATTAGCAAGCACATGCAATTTTCATTCTTCTCTTGCTAGGTTGCATTTATGTCATTCATACTCTTTTACAAATGTACAAATAATTGCTAATGATTAACTACCATGCTGGATCTACCTCTATTTTTATTCGTTTCTTTGCTTCGCCTTAACTACTGCTGGTGGTTTACATAATGTTCGCTTTGTGGATGGTGGTCATGACGAACTGTCGTTTGTATCAGCACTCCAGCGTGAGACTCAAGCAGGCAACACTGCTGCACAGTTTCATCTCACACCTTCAAGCCTCCTTCAACAGTGTTCTTTCAGTTCCGCGATTCACAACAGAATGCTTTTCATTCGTGTGTAAACAAACAGTACCCTGCGATCCGGATCTCAAAAGCGGGCGGAGACTGGTGCATGCTTGCTTTCTATTCAAAAGATATTTGATGGTGACCTGCCTGTTGCACTCCCTGGTGTGCAGTGTGCAAACTACCCACATGCATAAGGTCTATACCACTGGCATGGGCATTTGACCAAATGTTACTTGTTAGACAGACCATCATCTCGTTTTTTGCTGATGGCCCATTTGGTTATAGAAACCTCGTACATTTCGCGTCTGCGAAATTTAGTTGTACGTTTTACGTGTCGACTGGTGCAAATCAGTGTCGGCCCATGTTGCCTAACAAGCCATGTTCATTCTTTGTGCAGGACTTACTGTCGATACCAGAACTCCGTTCGAAATTTCGAGTATAGAAGGATGCAGATGGAGATCCAGGAGGGTGTCGCACTACGAGGAAGACGGAAACAGCAGGGCGAACCGGAAACAAAACTACAAGATGCATAGTGTCACGATGATTCGTTTGCGAGCGTTGGCAACAACGTTACCACACATAAATTTGTATCTATCTAGTAAATATCTCACTACCTCAAGATGTACGTTCCCTTCTCTATATCATAATCATTGCGAGTCCTTCTGCACATCAGTGTTCCAGTTTGCACTTTCACTTAAAGCAAGTCCTTAGATGTCTAATCAAACATGAGAATTGACCAGTGTCCTGCATTGACAACTTAACATGAGTGATTTAAAAATCGCACGATGGCATCACCATATGACGTAACCACGACGTCACAAGTTTTCAAAACTTTCGACACCATGACATCACATAACGTGGCGTCATGGGATACCATCGCATGACATCATTTTCGTGAAAAGTAGCCTGGTCACTGAGACAGTGGAAAGGTGTAGAAAGCTTGCAATGCCTCATATTTTGGGGGCTGTGCAAAACAAACTGTGTAAGGTGCGGAATACTGTGAGAGAGGGACAAGGGAGAGTCAATACATTAATAGATAAGAAAAAAAATCACAGCATATCCGCAGAGTGAATGATAACTGGTGGGGCGAAGCGTTCGTCAGTCTGTCTGTGCTTTCGTCCGCCCATTCGTTCTTGCCCATCTGTCCGTCCGTTTGTTTTTCCGTCTGTCCGTGCGTCTCTTTGTGTGGCCGTCCCTCTGTCTGTCTGCGCGTCCACCAGTCCAACCTAACTAACTGTATTTAACTGTATGTCGATGCGTATGTCCGTGAACACTCCAAGTACAGTCATCTCACATCTTTTTATCTTGTATTCATTATATGAATACACAATGAACAGGACCGCTCTTTCGGGGACGTGCCAACGGTGGCTTCATGCACGATCGTAGGATAGACAGACCGACACCCTAGGAAGCTTCGCCCCTTAAAGAGAGAGATGATTTTCGTCTTCAAGTCATACTAGGCAAATCCATAAGAAACCATGCGAGTGTTTCAGTGCCATAAGAAGCCCACCCATTGAGGAAACGGTCAGTACTACACACATTAAAAATTGGGGAATCTTGAAGCTTCGGCTTCAGAAGAGTTGAATGTGATAGCGACATCCTATCCCTCGTGCGTACTAAGTTCAAAACGGCTTGTCAATGAAGCTTTAGCATACGGCTTTTTTTTTTTCAAGAAAAAAGTCAGCATATCAACGGAGTCTGTTTGTGTGTCCACCTATCTATGAGTTCGTATGAACGGAAGCACAGACAGGTGCACGAATGGACGGAAGCACGGACAAATCGAAGTACAAACGGACGGATGCTTCGCCCCACTCGTCATCATTCACTCGGTGAATATGCTGTGAAAACCACTAATGCCATGTAGCTCTATTATCCCCAAAGACATATACACACAATTCCATCTATTGAGCTACTCATTAACTAGAGGTGGCCTCATACTACTACTACATAGGAGGGAACAACCCTCGGCATAACGAGCTTCACCCCTAAAAAACGCACTAACATGTGTGCCTTTTGTAGTGAGTGGCCCGCTACAAATAATGAATTCATAATAATCACACGTTTGGACGCCCGATAGCAGTGAACGCTTGGACCACGCATTATTACTGGGATATTGCACGTTGCATTGTCAAGCATGTAAGTTACTCTCACTGCATTTCCAAGCAAAAGATGTTATTTTCGCTGCATTTCCAAGCAGACACGTGACTCTGTGGTAAAAAACTTGCTTGCCACGCAAACAATCCAGGTTCTATTCTCTCTCAGACACAGATTTTTTTTTTAATGTCATTTGCATCTTTCACAATTTTTGAGTCACGTACGAGATGATTTTTTCGCTCCAACCAATGATGCCGATACTGGAATTTTCGCAAAATAATCTCTTTAACGCTATTGCGTTAATGTGCATCATGTATACCTGTCCACTGATACTTGTCCAATACGTATTAAAATGAAAGAGGGGAATTTCGTGGGCTCATTTGTTTATAATAGACACAACCTTACTTGGAAGTTTTGTTAGCGGAATGGCGTACAGAATTGATTGATTGATTGATTGATTGATTGATATGTGGGGTTTAACGTCCCAAAACCACTATATGATTATGAGAGACGCCGTAGTGGAGGGCTCCGGAAGTTTAGACCACCTGGGGTTCTTTAACGTGCACCCAAATTTGAGCACACGGGCCTACAACATTTCCGCCTCCATCAGAAATGCAGCCGCCGCAGCCGGGATTCGAACCCGCACCCGTGACAACCGGATTCGAACCGGGTCAGCAGCCGAGTACCTTAGCCACTAGACCACCGCGGCGGGGCGTATGACGTACAGAAAGTTTCAGGAATGTAATGATATATAAAAGGCTGTAGTCATAACTTCACCTGCTTCCAAGGCAAACAAAGTTATTGTAAAGCCATCTGTGCTATGTGAAATGAAGCTTTAGAATGAGTTTCTTGTGCGACATAAAAAGAAATTTTATATTAGACAAAAGTGATAAGAAATTTGTATTGTAAAATATATATAAACAACCATAAAAAGTTACAGTAGTCAGAATGAAATACACGTCTTTCTTTGGAAAGCATTGTTTGTGTGAAGCCTGCTAGTGAGTGAAGAATGACACCAGCTTATGCTGCCTATTCACAGTTTTAACAATGAAATACAGTCAAGTCTGAGTGTAACAAAGATGGATGTAACGAATCATTGGTGATAATGAAGAATTCTTATGATACACATTTACCGATATGCTTAACCTTTCAAGCTCAAACTATGATGGACTATCTATAAATGTATCCAATTCGTTTAGTTCAAAGACTCTCTATGTCCCAAGAAAAAAACTTGGCATGCAGGTAATGTGCAGCAAAACTGGAAGAGCAGCCTTTTTAGAGCTTTTTAAAATACTTTCAGGGGCAATTACTACATGTGTACTTGTATAACACCCACTACACCAAAAATCATAATTTTCGGGAAGTACAGAGGCACCCACTACGCTACTTTCGATTAAGTGGAGAAGTGAGGTACAGTAGAACTCAATATTGCAAATAGCCTGTCTGTATTGATGGTGCCAACACTTTTAAGTGACACCTACATAGAAAGAACTTCGTGAATTAAACTCTCTCAATGATCAGTATTTTCTGAACCAATTAAACGTTTGTAGGTGTTATTGTTCAGGCCCGGGGTCAACTTGTTGAAACTCCTATTGAGTGCGACTGTGCCTGCTACACATGTGTTAAGGATAATGTGCACTTTTTTGATGCTTGTCTGATGACGAATTATGGCTGACCCTTTTATAATGGGTTGCAAGCAATCAATGACCCATTCATTATACGGTTCAGATTGCGTGATGCCTGTTTGTCATTTTGCTGTTCCAAAACACTTAGTTACACATAGTAATAGGACTCTTTCCAAGACATGAAGCTTGAATATGGTCTGCCAACATTGGGGTCTCTAACACCAGCATGGCTATGTGGTAAACTACTGGGCTTCCATGCAAAGGGTCTGGGTTCGAACTCTACTCTATCCTAGAAACATTTTATTTATTTATTTTTCTTATTTCGCAAGAGTGCAGTTAAGGGCACCAAGGGTAGCAGAAAACTTCGGCTGTTGTGACCTTATAATGGCTTTCGCCACAAATAATTTAAATACAAATGTGGTTTTGTAAGTTTTAGTAATTCATCATAATTAGCATGTAATTAAGTATATAATTCTTCTAAATTATATGTCTCATTCTTACATAAAAAAGTCAGAGCTTTGCCGCAAATGCGAAGCAATGAACGCGATAGCAACAAATTGGAAGGTCATGCGAAAAATGGCAAGCAGATTGAAACGTGCCCCGCGTTTCTCAGGCACAAATGACACACGAAACGTACTCACAGGTACAGATGAACGCGAATAAGCAACTCGGTTGTAGCTTCACTGTGTCAGAAAAGGGCAACCTTCTGGCAAACTGAGACTGCAGCAAGTGCGGTGACCTTTGTCCGCCTGGTAACTATAACAGATTCGTTTTGGTGAATGCCCAAGGCGTACAATTCTTCCCACCACGAGAATGTACGCGTGAGCGTCCACCCTCCCCCCCCCCCCCCCTTCTGTGGGGCAAAGTATGCATGGGAGATGAGAGCACGCGCTCATTGCGCCATCTCGCAGGTAATGCTGAAAACACGACAGTTCCCTAAGATGGCCATCGCCAGCGGTAAGTGGTAAATATAAATAGCTTGCCATTTCAACGTTGAAGGAGGCGCTCCTTCGTGGCTTAGAGGGTAACACCTCGCACTCACAAGCAAGAGGTTGGACGTTTAATTCAGCGCGCTGAAGCCTTTCTCTGGATTATTTTTCTTTCTTGCGCTATCATATATATAGATACCTATACATATACGGTGATTGACGGCGATGTGGATGCCACACAAAAAAATCACAATAAAAGCAATCAGATCATAGACAGAATATGCATGCACAGCATTTTTGGTTGTATTCATCGTGAGCAAAAAAAATAGTACTTTTGACAGTTTCAGAACGCAGGACATGAAACAATCAGTTGAACATTGTAGTGCCTTCAACAAAGTGATAAGCTACAGTCATGCAGAGCGTTGACTTTATGTCAAAACACTTTGACTGTGCATACATTCATCCTGTGTACAATGTGTCACTCTTTCTGGGCCACTATTTCAAAGAAGTGACAAGAACAAGTTGAGCCCACTTCTCTAGACATTGCACTTCAGAGACTCATAATGGTTTGAAGAAAACATACACTCACCAACTAAAGATTACTATGGCACTCTTATTCTGTGTTCCTTCTTAGTTGGTGAGTGTATCTTATCGTCAATTAAGATTTCTCCTTACCAGGCGTGTTTTTATTACACTCTAGGCTCAAGAACTTTATAATGAAGTCACCTTCATGCGAGATGCAGCTTTGCTGTAGTGCCATCGGAGTGTAGTAAATTAACAAAAGTATGCTACTACGGTACACGGCTCCTTCACCCAACAAACACTTAGCACATTGCGACAATTTGCCCGTGAAAATTTCCCCACAATTTTTCTACAATGTATTGCTCCAATTGATTGATTGATTGATATTTGGGGTTTAACGTCCCAAAACCACTATATGATTATGAGAGACGCCGTAGTGGAGGGCTCTGGAAATTTCGACCACCTGGGGTTCTTTAACGTGCACCCAAATCTGAGCACACGGGCCTACAACATTTCCGCCTCCATCGGAAATGCAGCCGCCGCAGCCGGGATAATGAATCGCTCCAATGTGTAGTAACTATGTATACAGGAAGCAACTTTATTTGCAAATGCTATGTACAGCATACAATGACTTGCAAAATGCTTAGTCATCATCATGATCTGCCCTCGTTGGCCCAGGGCAACTTGCCATGTCCTCTTCATCTGCAGACAGAAAATGTTGGTTAGTAATGAACACGTGCTAATTATTCACGTGCAGCCCGACACACAATCCTCAATTAAGAGATTATGATCCCATATCACGACTGCACTAGTAACATCTTTCTACTCAGAATAAGTAGTGCTTACCTCCGTGTGCAGTTAATAATGAAACTTGATATGCATATTACTGAAGTAATCTAAGCGAATAATTACTTGCTGGCACGGTCAGACTATTGTGTTGAATTTCTATAATTTGTCATTGATTGGACTCACTTATTACAATATCATAACAAAATCAATGATTATAAGCAATGATTACGAGATCTAATTACATTCTTTGTAATAATGTATGCATGTATATACAAACAGTACACTGATATGTGGCAATGACAGATTCAATTGTTGTTTGCTAATGATCATTTATTTTGGAAACAAAGCTTATTTGTAGCAAAGCAACATGTCAAGTGCGCTAGCCACAAGCTTTCGAAGTCAATAAATATTTTTTTAAATTTCGGGGGATTTGCTTATTCCAAGTATCATTGAGCATAACAAAATATTGAAACCAAACAGGAACACTTAAAATACTGCCAAGGTTGACGTGCTCGTATTTTAAACAGAGTAACACTTTTTGAACACTTCACTATATTGATCTATTGCTATTAAATGGTCTGTTAAATAGTTAGCGAAAAGAAAAAAACGCTAAAAACTTACCCTCGAATTGAATGACACACCATATGCAGTAATGGTGACGTCGTCGAAGGTAGTCGGTGAGAACTCGGAGCCTCTCAGAGGGCTGCAAGGAAGGAAAGAAGCAAAAGGGAATCCCCACATGCATTTGAATGAAAGTGATCATTTTCACACACACCGGTGAAAAGAGCAGCGAGGGTGCCAACTATTGTAGCTAAGTGTACAACGGCCTTCAGAATACAATCCGCCGCAATCTCGACAAAGATTTTGCTAAGGCTCCAGCTATGATACAACACTATCAAGAAAACCAAAGACCAATAAAAGGACAGCAACATATAATATAGGAGCACTGACATGCAAGATGGTAACATATGAGAAGACGGAAATGCTTGTTACTAGATCAAACGGCCACACATACAAGACAAAAGTATGAGCGCCATTTATTACCATCTCCCTGCCCTTGTTATAACTTCACCACTATTTGTCACAAATCAATACCAACTAGTGCATTAAAGGGACACTAAAGGCAAATATTAAGTCGATGTTGATTGCTAAAATAGTTGTCCATAAACCTCGCAGTGCTACTACTGTGCCAAGGAAGTCCTTATTTTGAAATAAAATCACGTTCTAGAGGTCCACATTGCGTTAGCGCACTTCAAATTACCCGCCTTATTGGAACCTTTCACAAGAATGTTGCCGTCCACAAAGTAGCCCCACTTTACTGTGTGGCCGCCGACACTAGTAGCAGCCGAGCGAAAGTAGCAGAAGCCATAGCAGCAACAACGGCCATTGAACAATTTTCAGCTATGGCCTCCGAGATGGCAGAAGTGTTTGGTTTAAGTGGGCCCCACTAGATCGCACGACCTGTCCAGTTTAACCAGGCAAAAATTGAACTTGTGAGCCACTCGCACCATTTCCAATAGTAATGTCCTGCGTTTTTTTTTTTTTTTCAAAAATCAAACAGAATGGAACAAGCAGCATTTTATTACATCTCTTTATGACCAGAAGGTTCTTAATTTACTGCAGCCCCGCCGCGGTGGTCTAGTGGCTAAGGTACTCGGCTGCTGACCCGCAGGGCGCGGGTTCGAATCCCGGCTGCGGCGGCTGCATTTCCGATGGAGGCGGAAATGTTGTAGGCCCGTGTGCTCAGATTTGGGTGCACGTTAAAGAACCCCAGGTGGTCTAAATTTCCGGAGCCCTCCACTACGGCGTCTCTCATAATCATATAGTGGTTTTGGGACGTTAAACCCCACATATCAATCAATCAATCTTAATTTACTGCAGCTAGTTTGATTACTAATGATAATTGTAAGTGGTAACTCTGACGTGATCAAGATAATTTGGCGATACTCGTGGCCCATGTGTTTTTGTGCATTTACTTCAATTTCTTGGCAAGTACGGCACTACAGTTGATATTGATGTTTCAGATGTCATACATCGAGATTTCACTCTGACATGAATTGTTATTTGACTTTGGTGTCCCTTTATATCCACAGCGTTATGCTGCCTTGGTGATGTTGATAACTACCGTAATTACTCCAATCTAACGCACACCTTTTTTCGGTTAAGTGAGTTCATAAATTTCATGCGCGTTAGAATCGAGTACGAAAAAAAAAACAAAAAAAACTGAATACGGTCATTCTATTGCCATCGGCATATCCAAAGCTGCCCCCTACGTGCGTCGGCATGGCGCGTCGGCCATTTCTGCCTATAATGTTTCCCATGTGCGGCACTTCGTACGTGTGCTGAGGAGTTCGTCATCTTGTAGTGCATTAGCGTCGACGGTATGGAAGGATCGACTCCAAAAACTCGAGTGCACCACAATGCCGCTTTTCAAAGAAAAGTCATCGCGTGTGTAGAAACGGACGGAAATGGGCCGCATCGCGGTCGTTCGGAGTTCCCGAAACATGCGTGCGGGACTGGCGGAAACAAAAGCAGAAGATGGTCGACAGCAAAGCTTCACGCAAAGGCTTCAGTGGACCACAGCAGGGTCGGTTTCTGCAAATTGAAGAGCTGCTCGGCGAGTATGTGCTTGAGCAGCGAGCGGCACAGCGGCCCGTGACGACAGAACTGCTCCAAGTGCGGGCTATGCAGTTAGCCTTAGAATAGAAAAAGGGCTAATGCGGAGCTAGTTTAAAGTGAGCAGGTGCTGGCTAACTAACTTTCCCTCCAAAGGTGAACGGGCATATGCGGAAAGTTCCGAGAGGTAAGATGAAAAGCTTCACAGTTTTCAGAGGTTTGTCCTAAACTTGCGGCGCAACAACGGCTATCTGCTTGGGCAAATCGGGAATGCCGATCAGACACCTCTTTACTTGGACATGCCTAGCACCACAACCGTCGAGAAGAAGGGGGCGAAGCAAGTTCGAGTGCTGACAGCGGTCCACGGTAAAACTGCAGTGACGGCAATGCTCTTTTACACGTCAGATGGGCACAAGCTTCCCCCGTACCTCATATTTAAATGGAAGACGCTCCCGAAAGGAGTCGTTTTTTCGAGTGGTGTGATCCTGCGGGCCAACGAGAAAAATGGGTGCGCGTTGCAATTAATGTCTTACTTTTTTTTTTCATCGCCGAAACCGGGTGCGCGTTACAATCGAGGGCGCGGTAGAATCGAGTAAATACGGTACCACACTGGCCACACCAGAAATACACAATGTCTCAATTGAGTGTGCGGTGCGAACTACACATTATCACCCAGATGGACAGCTTTGCTGTAACAAGCATTGCTTGGCTGTCGCACCACAGCGCACTTCCAAGGAGAGAAGTCGCGAGAGCAGTAAGAACAGAATGCACAGACCAAGACTGTTTTTTCAGCATCATTTCATATTAGTTATTGGGTTGAGTTTGTTTTACAAAGGCTCTGGTGTTGCAGTTAAGTGGTGTATTGTGCAATCATAGAATAACTGAGTGAAAAACAGGAAAACTCAACATGATGCCACTGTTAATCGATCATGTGAAGTTTTGCAGAGTTTTGCATCATGCAGTAATCAGGTAGGGCCATAATGTGCTTGTAAGTGCATCACACTGTGGTGATAGCGCCCAGGCGCGTCAAGTGTCCGCGTTATCTGGCGCTGTCGCCCGCAATTGTAAAATGTCGTTTGTACGTGACGTCATTGGTCACATGAGAGTCTGCTATATATGTATGCTGGTTGCATGGAATAAAGGTTGGACGTTATCTCGCGCGCATCGGAAGCGGCTCGGTCCCTTTCTCAGCTCCTGCGGCCGGCCCGGACGCGCATGGCCTTTCGCTAGGGCGCAACACGACATGGTGTCAGAAGTGGGATTCTTCTGACATTCGAGGGGCGTTGCACCAGTCTTCGTCAAGCGGCGCCATGTCAGAAGACAAAGTCAAGCCAGTTCACGGCATGTTCGCGGTTCCAGCTCCGCCAGCGTTTGACTTCGACCAAACGTCCGAATGGCCTTCCTGGATCCAACTATTCGACGACTACCGCTTTGCCTCTGGCTTAAATGAGCGAAGTGAAGAAGCGCAAGTCCGGACTCTACTCTACGCAATGGGCAGGCAAGCGAGAGAGATCTTTTCGACCTTCACACTATCTGAACAACAGCAGAAGCAGTATGAAGTCGTCAGAAAAAGTTCAACGATCACTTCGTGGCCGCACGGAACCTCGTTTACGAGAGCGCATGTTTTCACCGACGCATACAACAACCAGGCGAGTCAGTCGACCAATTCATCACCGCGTTGCACACACTGGCGGACCGGTGCGACTACAAGGAAAAGGAACGCATGATCCGCGACCGGTTTGTAGTCGGCCTCAGTGATGCCAAGCTCTCGGAGTCTCTGCAAATGGATGCAAATCTTACACTCGCCAGCGCTTTGGCAAAAGCTCGCTTGAAGGAGACCGTCCAACGACAGCAGCAACAGCTGCGAGAAACCAGCGACGAACCTTCGGCAGCGCCAGCCAGCAACCTGGACGCGGTCAACAAACAACGGCAGCCCCGAAAGAATTCTTCAGGACAGCGTACCGGCACCTCGTCAAGGACCAGTGCACCGGTCACACAAGGTCAACGCACCAGACCACAGTCCTACCGACCTCTCACATCCAGTTCATGCCCCAACTGCGGTCAAGGAGAGCACCCGAGGACCTCCTGCCCGGCATGAGCTGCGAAATGCAACTACTGTGGTTGTTCCGGACATTTTGCAGTGGTGTGTCGGAAAAAGGCTGCAGGCGAGCGAAAGAAGGTACAGATTTCTTCTCTCCATATAGAAAGAGGGGCGTATTTTGTAGGCGCGGTAAATGGGGAGCACTCCAATTCTCGGTATGCTCAAGTTATCATTAACGGCACTCCGGTGTTCGCTAAACTTGACTCGGGTTCAGAAGTGTCCGTTGTACCCTCAACATTTCCGGGATTGCTTACCAAATTAGACAAGTGCGACATAACCTTAACAGGCCCTGCGAATGAGCCACTGCATGTTCTCGGAAAATTTCTTGCCACTATACAGTGGAGACAACGCATTGTCCGACAAACTGTGTACGTAGTCTCGCCTTTACGCTCGATACTTTTGGGTCTCCCAGCGCTCGAAGCCCTTGAGCTGATCAAGTTCACTGACTCGGTCAGTAGCGCAGCAGCTATCGAAGCTTCCTACTCTCAGCTTTTCGGTAGTCTGGGTGCTATGAAAGGGGAATACAATATCAGACTGAAGCCGAGCTCGGTACCCTTTGCTATTCCGGTTGCGCGTCGCATTGCCTTACCCCTGCGGGACCGAGTGAAGCAGGAGCTCGAGCGTATGGAGCGAGATGACGTAATCCGCAAAGTAGACGAACCAGCAGAATGGTGCGCAGGTATTGTACCAGTACTCAAACCTTCTGGAGACGTTCGTATTTGCGTTGACTTGACGCAACTAAATAAAAGTGTACTTCGCGAGCGCTATGTTATGCCAACGGTTGAAGATAGCCTTGGTCTGTTAAGTGGGGCATCGGTTTTTTCGAAGCTGGACGCTAATTCTGGATTTTATCAGGTCAAGTTGTCGCCGGAAAACCAATTGTTGACTACCTTCATTACGCCATTTGGGCGATACTGTTTTGAGAGGCTACCGTTTGGAATAACGTCAGCACCTGAGTTTTTTCAAAAGAAAATGTCGCAGATTCTGGAAGGAATCCCAGGCGTGGTAAACATGATGGATGATGTGCTCATTTATGGCTGCGACAAAGCTCAACATGATGAGCATCTGCGTCTTACTTTTAGACCGTCTCATGAGTGCTGGTGTTACGCTAAACAAAGAAAAGTGTTGTTTTGGAGTAACCGAGATAAAGTTTCTTGGTTGTGTTCTAAGTCGAGATGGAATCAGGCCGGACCCTGAAAAGGTCCGGGCCATCAAAGAACTGCCGACGCCAAATAACGTGTCTGACGTTCGACGGCTGCTCGGAATGACTAATCATCTGGCAAGATTCATACCAGATTTGGCTTCAAAAACGGCACCGTTACGTCACTTGCTTTTGAAGAGTTCTGAATGGACGTGGGGACCAGCCCAAGAGCAAGCGCTGTCATACGTTAAAGACGTTATCGGTTCGGCGCGCGTCATGGCTAACTATGATGCAAAGTAACCTACGATTCTTTCCGCCGATGCGTCATCATTCGGTTTGGGGGCGGTACTGATGCAAGTTCAACCAAACAACGAAAAACGACCCGTTGCCTTTGCATCGCGATCGTTGACGCCTGCCGAAACCAGATATTCCCAGATTGAAAAAGAAGCACTAGCAATGACGTGGGCGGCAGAACGATTCGAAGGGTACAACAAAGGTCTTGAAATTGTGTGTGAAACCGACCACAAACCTCTTGTAACCTTGCTGGGAAAATCTCCTTTAGATGTTTTACCACCTCGCATTCAGCGTTTTCGCATGAGGCTCGTGCGGTTCAGCTATGAAGTTGTGCATGTCCCGGGCAAGAGCTTAGTTACTGCAGATGTGTTGTCGAGGGCCCCGATTCGGGGAAGGGAAAAGAAACTGATAATGCACTGTCTATTAGTGACGTCAGCAAGCACGTTTCAGGATGCTTGTCAAACGCGGTCGAGGCCAGCCTCTTCGAGAGAGTGAAAGCAGAACAAGCCGCTGACGAAGTTTGTCAAGCACTCGTAAAATTCAGCCGGAAAGGGTGGCCAAAATTCTCATCTCTTCCGATGGTCTTGCGTTCATATTGGCAGGAAAGAGCCACGCTTACAGTTGCTGAAGGCGTGCTACTTAAAGGTATGAGGTTGGTCATTCCTCAAAAATTGCTCGCAGAGGTCCTGATACGCTTGCACGAGAGTCACCTGGGAATCGAAAAATGCAGAGCTCAAGCCAAAGAGTCGGTATGGTGGCCAGGGTTGAGTTATCAGCTGAAAGCTTTGGTTACCGATTGCCGCGTATGCGCCGAGCACAGACACCAAAAGCCAGAACCAATGATCCCGACAACCACTCCACAGCGTCCTTGGCAAAAACTAGGAGCTGATCTCTGCCATGTTCAAGGAAAATAGTATTTGGTAGTCGTAGATTATTTTTCTAGGTACCCAGAGATTGCTTTGTTATCATCTACAACGAGTGCCACTGTCATTACGCACCTTAAAAGTTTCTTTGCAAGACATGGCATACCAGAAGTTGTTATGTCTGATAACGGAGCGCAATTTGTGTCGAAGGAATACAAGTTGTTCGCTCGCAACTACGGGTTTCGCGCTGTGACGTCTAGCCCAAGGTACCCCCAGGCAAATGGTGAAGTAGAGAGGATGGTCGAGACAATCAAAGGCCTCATTACAAAAGCGAAGGATCCATATCTTCCTCTCCTAGCGTACAGGGACACTCCGGGGCCACTTGGGAAAAGCCCTGCAGAACTTCTAATGGGTAGGCGGCTACGCACAACGGTGCCTGTCCATCCCACAAGCCTTCTGCCTCAGACGGTGAACCTGAGAAAGTTCAGAAGCCATGATACGACCGCCCGACAGCGGCAGCGTAGGAACTTCAACCTTCGTCATAGGGCTGCTTCGTTGCGAGCACTCGAACCGGGTGCGAAAGTCTGGGTGACGGACTGCAAAGCAAAAGCGCGAGTCTTGCGACTTGCTAAGCGGCCGAGGTCGTATGTGGTTAGAACCTCCACTGGCGTACTTCTAGAAAGAAACAGGAAATCCTTGGTGCGCTCTGTTTCACAGCCAAAAGAAGGTGAGGATGAGGGAGATAGCAATGATTTTCCTCAGGCAGATGATAGTCGGGTAGAAACGGAACAGAATTCTAATCGCGTTACAGACAGCATGGCGCCTGACGATCTATCTAGCCCTTCCTTGCCGGGAACTGACCTCCCTGAATACCGAACGCGATCTGGTCGTCTTGTTCGACGGCCGGACCGCTACAGGTTCAGTAATTGACTGTATTGTTCTTGCACATTTTTTTGTTTCTGCAAAGTGTTCTTTCACTGGCAGTGCTGCGAAGTTTGTTGCAACTGTCAGCGTATTGTTAAAGAAGGGGAGATGTGGTGATAGCGCCCAGGCGCGTCAAGTGTCCGCGTTATCTGGCGCTGTCGCCCGCAATTGTAAAATGTCGTTTGTACGTGACGTCATTGGTCACATGAGAGTCTGCTATATATGTATGCTGGTTGCATGGAATAAAGGTTGGACGTTATCTCGCGCGCATCGGAAGCGGCTCAGTTCCTTTCTCAGCTCCTGCGGCCGACCCGGACGCACATGGCCTTTCGCTAGGGCGCAACACGACACACACCTCCACATAATCATTACACCATGGCTCTATATGAAGAGGCTCAAACGTGCTGCACACGGGCCGAACCTCTTGCTTACACCCATGGCCCGCACTTGACTGTCGTCATCCCACCTTTTAAATTTTTTTTCCTCTTAAGTATGTTCCTAAGTTACACAGGCATGACTAGTGTAAAGCTCAGTTTATGTGAGGCACTTTACATGTTCACCATATGATGAAGCTCAGCAAGGAAACAAAAACTATGTTTTAGAATCAAGCATCCATGTTCTAGACGTTTTCATGACCAGTACCAACTTGTTGTTCGAATCCTGAGTGTCAAATCTTCTTCAGTAATGACAGGCAGGTTATCACAGGTGGGAAAGTTTTTTTTTTCAAGCAGTAACATTTTCTGACATTTTGAGCAAACTATCCTCTCCCACCTACCTGCTTTAACCTTCTTCCCTGTCCCAGCCCTCACAGAACTAAATTGCATGAATTTAGTCCCTCTAGGCCGGGACAGGGAATAAACTCCAAAGTTTCTGTAGGTTCATTACTTGTCATACATTGTGAGTGATCTACCGGCAAAAACCTGACACTTCTCGAAATGAGCCGGACCTCACCAACTAACGTTGTGACTTGAAGTTACTGTGGAGCATGTGGATACTTTAGAACAGTGGACCTCAATGCCTGCTACCGCATGATGATCATTGTTGCAAGGCCTCATGTGGCACCCCTAAAAGCATTGAAAATGCCAAATTTGAGCCTAATGAGTGCAAGTTCTAGGAGCGAGACAAGTGAAATATTTCTGAACAATTCTGAATGTGGTGGTTAGCATAATGTGCGAGAATAAGGCAGTTCATCTCTTATGGCAAAGCCAGGCTAAAAAGAACTGAGCGTTGGCCGAGCTAGTATTCTGTTGTAAACAGCATTTGGCATTCTAGCAGCCGAAGATCATAGCCACACAGGTCCCTAAGGAGTGTGCGACACTGATCAACGTCGCAAAGTAGTCTAGGGCTATGTTATAAGAAGCCGACAGCAACGGCTGCGGAACATGACCCGATGACCACATGGATTTAGCACCTGCGAACTCTTACAGTAACATCACTCACGTCTACATCTTCTTCCTCCTCTTTTTCTTCTTCTTCTTCGCTCTCATCCCAACTTCTCTTCTGCAGAACAAGCCCATCGTCCGACGAAACGATGTCGCCGTCAGCTACATCTTCGTCTAGAGACACCACATTCCTGACGTCACCATCGGCGCTGGTCGGATGTGTGTTGCCAGGCCAGAACCAGAGCTGTTCGGGCTCTGTAATATCCTGCGGGTGAATAATAGTAGTTGTATTTTTGTTAGCACGAAAATACGTGAAGTTCTCATTCAAAAAAGTCATTTCAAATCAAGAATCTGAATTTGATGAATAAGCTGACTGTATAGGGAACCAGTGCCGGAGTTTCCACGATGCGGGCTGCGTCACCCTGGTAGTCAACGCATACTTCTCAACTGCTCTTGCAGACAAGAAGTGGGCAACATCGTACTGTCGCAGCACGGACATATCAATGGGGGCATGTCAGCCTGCACTAGCTCAACACAAAACTCGCTGAATGCACCGGTTCTCGTCCAATCAGCAGGCAGCCAGAAAATAATGACGAGGAAGTCGCCATCACAGCACTGTCGCTTCAATGCTATATGCATAGACGCAATCCGCATTCCAGAGATTCTCTCCAATTTCTAGTGCTTTTTATGCGAGGGTAACCTTCGAACAAAGTTCTTTTTTTTTCTAAACCACAGTGCAGTATTACTAGTGCAACAGCTTTTTGAGCTGTTCGTTACAAAATGAAGCACGACAGGTACACGCGCGTGCTCTTCCCACGGTACACCCAGCCGGTCGTCCGAGCGCGAGGGGCCGAGTTGTGTCGCAACTCTCCGCCTGGTGCTGATTTTCGGTGCGCCCCCTATCCAGCATTCCACAGCCAATACAAATTACTGAAGCAATATGAATTTGTCCGGGCACTGCTCAGGATGTTTATTACAGCGGCCAAATCTAATATCCAGTTGCTCACTAACTTTAGAGAGCTTGATCAAATTGCAAGGTTAGTGAGTTTATGGTAATTCAGACCCCAAAGTGACTAAGGGTATATGAGAGATGCCACAGTGGAGAGTTCTGCAAAATTTTGACCACTTGGAGTTCTTTAAGGTGCACTGACACTGCCATGGACCTCTAGCATTTTGCCTCAATGAAAATGCGACTGCAGTGGCTTAGATTGAACCCCGTCTTTCCTGTCAACAGTACAGCGCCGTAAGCACTGTACCACCAAGTAAGACTCACTTAGAAGGGATTCCAAATACACCAAAGGTGAGTTGGTTAATCTTTTGTGGTCCATTGTTGGGCCCTTCCTGACAATTAGACGCAAACAGAGCAGTCTATGGTCGATCTCTGCTGCACAAGCTTCTTTTATGGTTGATTCACACCGACATCTCACTGCATTATGTCCCATTTCAAAAAGAGTAAATAAGCTTTTCCTTGAGCTTTATTTTCATTAGTTTAGGACAATATCGGAGAGAAGGGGGTAAAGGTTTCAGACTGCAAAAGGTCAAATGACTGTGTCATAAGAAAAGACTGTCAATCAAGAGACTTGCAGTACCTGATGCACTGTCCAGGTTATAGCATGCCCTCTGACTTTTCCTCAAGTCAGCCTCAACCTGCTGCAAGAGGGCTTTGCTACGCTTGGCATTTCTAAACTCCTGAGCCATTCGGTTGCATTCCGCCTCGGATGTCGTCTTCAGCCTGGCTTCGATTCGTTCGCGGGCTTCGGATTCTTGGCCCAAACCACCACGGTTCGCCCGTACCACAATAGGAATCGGCTCCTTAAGCGAACTGCCTGAAATGGAACAGCAGTGAAATCGTGAAGAGAACCAACTGCACAACAAACGAAAAAGAAAAGATGATCTGGGTGATCCCTCTTTCATAAGAACTGGGTATGAAATGATGAAATGCACTTTCATACAAGGTTGCACAGGCTTTGTTGAATTTCATGAAAAAGAAGCTGGATGTATTTTCGCACTGTCTGTAAAATATAAAATATGGCCACAGATCTAGCACATGGAAGTTTTGGAAGACTTTAACACCTTCCCAGAATTCTTGCAATTGATATGCTTATATTCATACATGCACATAAAGACACACGTATAAGCATACTCGTAGGGGTATTGGAGCCCTTCGAGAATAAAACACTGTTTTTCCACAAAAGGCAATCTTGGGCATCTCTGCCTTTCAATTAATGCTACAAAGTGCCTAATGTAATCTCATTTCCAAAACCTCTTCAACTTTCTGTAAAGTAATATCATGTCCACAACGTTCATGACATTTTCCATCTATAAATTGAAGAATGCCGAGTGAATCAATGACAGATTGTACTGCACCTCCTCAGCAATAACCACAGGTCTAGTCACCATGAACAGATTTTTCTAGACCCTGGAAGTTCTGCTTGACGATATTCTATTGCAATTTTCGTTGAAAATTCCCAAGGGTAGCAAGAGGCAGGCACATACCTGCAGTTGCTGCCTTGCCAAGCCCCATGCCTGGCTTGAAGCCCATCATCTTGAGAAGGTTGAATCCCTTGTTTTCTTCGCCCAATGGTTTGTTGAGTGCTTCAGTACGGGTGTCCTCCATTAACTGTTTCGTGGACTTAGTGCGGCTCATCTTGTTCGCTTCCTGGTGCTTCTTCTCGGCCTCAAAGCGCCGCTTGGTCGCACGGCTGTGGACCAGTCCGGGCCGCAGGTCCTCGCTTCAAAGAGAGTTAAAGAAATTGCAAAGCAATCGCTTAAAAAATGGAAAATTAAAAATAGCACAGGTTACAGGGCAACAGGACAGAGAGAGACTAAGCACTTAGTCTGTCCGTGTCGCACTGCAGTGCGCTTCGTGGTTTCTTGGTTCCTACAGACATGTACCAATTTGTCAAAATATACACTCTCGAGTTTCAAACAATGGTCTACAGAAAAAATTGTGGCAAATTTCTTTGCGGGGAGCCGTTGACAATTAAATTTGAGGGGTAATTATTGACTTTAAACTGCTAAGTGCGAACTTCTTGGCAGAAAATGTGGATGAGAAACTTTTCACCAAGGCAATGTTTCAGTACAGACTAGAGAGTGCTTTTTTTTTTAGAGAAAGCTGCTCTGGAGGAAACTGTTGAGGTGAAACTTGAAGGGGAACGGTTGATGGCAGACCGTTAAGGAATGATTGCCTGTGTGCTCATCATTGTTACAGAATGGCCACCTCCATTCCAATTCCATTCTGGGAAATTGCAACTTGCCATAATTCCATTCTTTTCAATTTCTCGGAATGACAAAACGTAGCCTATTCCCTTTCCAGGAATGGCCAGGCAGGTCAAATCCATTCCTATAATTCCTCAACGTAGGAAAGGCACATCTCGGTAGCTTTATCATGGTAAGAATGATTGTAAAATAAAGCTGATGTCATCGCATGCATGAGAACTACAAAACTACGCTAAACACATTACCACGGTCGAGAGAAAGTAGCTTGGTGGCTGATCTCTTGTGGTACAACCACACTACTAGTTTTCATAGGGGCAGTTCCCCCGCTACCTATAGTATTTGCATGGTCAGCACAATCTTGAAAAATAGAAGTTCGTAAACAGAAGGCAATGCATGCATTTACTCGTTGCGATCATATTTTACTACCTTCGCGGCATCTCTTTACTATAGCCGGAAGCCAGTAAAGCTTGAAAGTTTTGCCCTTACTAACCAGGAATACTTTCTTAGTCTTTGTGTGGCGAGAATATGTGGCGAGTCTGTGTGCAAGGTGGTATACGAAAGCTTGCAGTAGACACAAACATCGCGCCGGCATCAATACGCATCACAACTCAGAGTAGCATTTTTTCGAATAAGACTCCGAGTCACCGATGGTGGCAGAAGCAAAAACAAAGTGATGGATGGGGAGACATCAAACGGCTGAGGCACCACCGAGGAGGAAAATGATCACAAGGTGTAAGGCGGGTACGCCGCCACCGTATAGTTCCGCAAGAGAAATACCATGGCATTGTGACTTGGTTACGCGAAGAATAGAGAAAAGCTTTGGAGCAGCACAGTTTATATAGGAAAAAAAATTATAATAGGTGCATCGCTCTTAAATGTACCATGCTTGTAATAACGCAAGCCTTTTAAGTTACTGCTTAAGTGTTCAATTCCAGTGTCTGACTAACTAATGTTTGAATTTTGATGAACAGCACGTCGACGAAAACGTGCTCTATTTTGAAAAAAAAAAGGACCTAAATCTATTCACATTCCATGAAAAATGTGCTTAATTTCATTCACATTCCTCCAAACGTTGTCCGCATTCCATTCCGGGGTCGCGAAAATGTGGAATGATTTCCGATTCTTTCAAGTTGCGGAGTGGCACCTCCACAATACTGATGCTGACGGCGGAGACGGCTGGTCTAGCATGATTTCTGGTGATTGTAGGAGACCACCTGAAGGGTGGGTGTTGAGGAAAGAGGATTTGGGGTTTTGTACAAATAATTGGTCATCAGTAGCTCGCTGAGACGGCATGGGAACCTAAACAAACACGATTCACCCAAGCATGCATTTCGCGGCGGTAGTGAGGTTAGTTCAAGTTAATTATTTTACTTTTATAAGTTTACTTTCTCAAGCTAAGATAACGTCGGGCGATTAGCGAATCGCAGCCGACTGAAGGGCACTACCTGAATGAATGAAAAATCAACCAAGTGCACTTACGAGATGCTTGTAACAGATTTGTGCAGTGGCGTCATCATTCGTAAAACCCCAGGACATGTTGAAAAACGCTTCACGTAGTTGTGCATTTACATTCACTGATGCGGACAAAATACATAACTTTGAAACTGTGCAATCGGCAACTGATCCTACCTTTCAGCGAAGAAGTTCATCGACATGTAGTCATCGTCGTCGGTATCACCTGACATCGCCGCACTTTCGTGAGTACTTTGAGTACTACCAGAAAGCACTTAGGACGCGGGAACGTCTCGTGAGAGCTATAGGACACGCAGTGCAGACACCATCAACACAGAGAACTTCGTGCCACCGCAACCTGTGTTTACTTTGCTTGTTGAAGTGGTGTACTACCATGGTGTACGAGTAGAATAGTGTGTCATCCGTGCAACCAGAAAACCAAGAAATCATGGCCACTAACGCAACTACGCCACCAGGGCCACGCTGCAGCTGACCGGTGTGCATTACGCGCAAAATATAAATTTTCAGAACGAAACTACGCAGTCTAAACCACCGTGATCCTTCCTAACACAATACGAAAAGTGTAAAGACAACAAATTAAGACGTATTATTGCGTTTAATGAAGCTGCTGCAACCGCGTTTGAACTTTCACATTTTTATCACGGATGGGTGTCCCAAATTACTGGCATGCTTATTGTTTTCATTGCAGACAAGAAATGAAAGAAACCCTCTTCGACTTACTCACGTGTATTATGCTGACATGAACTGCTTATTACACTATTTTGAAGTAAGCACACACAAGATTGTGTGGAAGAATCATTTCGTCAGGAGAATCAAAAATCACTGTGTCTAAAGGTGGTAAAAAAAAAAAGGTGATTTTCTAAGGAATGCTGCTACAATTATTTCAACCTTCGGTTCCTGAAAAAGACATTAAAGAGCAATAAAAATTGCGGCTCTCAGCGGGACATGCTCCAAAGGAAACGTTTTGTTCATTCCGCAAGAATTAACCATACTGCATGAAAGAAAAATCTGGCTTCCGCAAACGCTGTGACGTTTATGAATAGAGTAACTTCAGGTCACTATATTCATGCACTCACTAAAATTGGCCAATCAAATAGTCTCAGAAATAAATAAGCAATGCAGTAAATGCAACTTTTAATCACAGAGGCCCTGTATCTCCCAGCTTGAACAACATAGGCTCATAGTCACATTAACAGGGGGCGCTACAAAAAACAAGCTGTGCGGTTATTGAAGAAATTATGGTTTTTAGGTCCACATTGACACACTGATCTAATTTAATACACACGGTGGCGTTACTCCTGATGATGATAGTGTATAATTTAGGTGGCGTTATCTGTGATAATCTTTACAAACAATGCAAATGAGCGTGTCCAGCGCGTTTAACTATTGCACAGCACTGATGTGCGGCATCAACGGGATCCCAACATAAATACTACGTACATATTTATTTTACTATTTGGCTGAAGAGGAATGAAAAACATGCAACACACAATTGTTTTGTTCAGTTTCAGTGAACAGGGAGTTATTCACTGGTGAAACAGCTTATTCAAGTAGTCATTTGCAGCACCACCCACTTGCATTGGCTTTTCTTCCTTTAGGTGAAGGAGACACAGTCGAATGCGGATATATATAGAATGTGAAGGGGGTCAATAAATAATTCTATATATAGCGGCTTGGATATATAAAATATGTTATATACCAAAAATATACTCAAGCAGATTTTACAACTGTTCCATGTACACAGTGATTCGTTATATGTGGGTTTGACTATACCAGTCAATTATTCCAAATTATAAAATAGTGAACTTAATAGTAAGGTCATTCTATGACTTTGCAAGCATAAGTTCCTTGATCCATAAAAAGTGTAATAGCTCTTTGACTTCACTGCACTTAGTTTTGTTTTTTTACAAAAGTCTTTTTGTGGTCATTTTATTAACAAGCCCCAATTGTTCTTTTAGAACGTCTTGCCAAAGAAAATGTTGAGCATGCTGAAAAGTGATCCACCAAGGCCTTGATTTGAGAGTATGCTATTATATGACATGGTTTCCATGTTTGAATGCATTATGCTTAGTTACAACTTTAGAAAAAATGTACGCTCCACCCACAGAACCACATTGGGTCTGCCCTTCCCTTGCAATTGACAGTCGTAATACCTTGTTTCTGCTCATACCGTAAACACTTCTTCCTGGCTACTGGTGACTCTTCAGCAAAACTGCTCCTGCTTTTCAACATTATTCCACAAGCAATACAGCATAGACAGTGCATTATGGTTTTTCTACAGCTTATTAGAATGTGATATGTTTGTCATTGTACTTAAAAAAAGGATTTATCAGTAATAAGTACTCATCTTACAGTAATTTGAAAAGTGAAATTCTGATCAGTAAGACAAAGGGTAGTAAGGGAACAGATTGGAAGCCGTATCATAATGATTTTTCCGAAACCACTGTTTTTTCCAAATGCAGCATGCCACAACTACACCCAAGGAAGTGAATAGCTAATCGAGCAGGCCAAGGCCGGCAAGAACTTCCAAGAAAAATTTGCAGCCCGTAAATACCAGAGCAGTGTACCACAAGTTATGAAATCGTGGGACTACGACATTGACACTTCTGGCCAGTATATCTTATAGAGCTGAAACATTTGAAGGCTTGACGCAGCAATCAAGCGATATCCAAGACGTTGTGCGGCTAAAATATGCGCAGGCTGCCGCAATACGTGAACTTCATCATCGCTGGAAAAGGAAACACGGCCGCTACTACGTCACCGTCGAAACGATAGCACAATTCGCTAATCGGCCTCTCGCGGAGATTCTTGAATGTGCAGATTCGACGCGCCAAGAGCACACGCCAGCCGATGACAGTCCGCAAACTTCCAAATAAGGGTAAGCTTCACTCCGGCGATTCTATTGGGCCACATGTGGTCACATGACATGCCTTAGCCGTGTTGAGTCATCACTACGTATTGCATGCCAGCGCGTGACAATCTAGTTCTTTCATAAAAGAAGTATACCGTTGCGCGTACTCTATCATACCTACTACAAATAAAACATCGCACGTGCTACAACTTTCTATTACAATTTTAGTAATAATTAACGTAGATTTAAAAAATTTAGTTACCCAAGTTGACACTTTTTGTGTGTGGCGGCATAACTTGAAAAGAAAACAAAGAAAACAAACGCCCAATCGAGGACGCCCTCTGTTGCAGCGCGGAAGAATACAAAAGTGGGTGCGCTGCAATCTTGGTATAACCACCCTTCCCGTTTGCGTCGAGAGGCCTAGTGTGAAAACAAGGACTTTGGTTACGTTGTGCCCTCGATCAATTAAAAAACAGCCGCACTATGGTAAGTACTGCAATATTCTCATTAACCACGCGCCCTGTGATTGATACGTAGCGTTCGCGTGTATCCGATCGCGGTGCCAGTCGTTTTTCTTTAGAGGGGCGAGGTTTAAAAAGCCGGCGCGGATGACGATACCGGCGTTTTTTGTGCCATCTTCCATGCCACGGCTGCTCGGAAGCCTACTCCTCCTAGCTAATTTTGGCAACGCTAGAAGGGACATGCATTACCTCCCGTGTTTCGTCTCGCTTACTTAGATTGCTTCTCTTTAATCGGTACGCACAAGTCGAAGGCAAGTGTTAGCGTCGCCTCTCCGACACACTCGCGGGAGGCGGGGGGGGGGGGGGAGGTGTCGTTCGTGTGGGGCTTCTTCAACGTAAACCTGGGCGGCTTTTTTTTATTGTTTTTGCTTTTTTTTTCCCGTCCCCGCGACTCCGGTCACTGCCATGGTAAGCGGTCATGTTGCATCCGCAGCATAGTGCGGGCGCGATGGGTTTCTATTCGTGCTGTACGGGGTTGACTTTCGAATTCCGCGGAGTCGAGCGAACGTAGCCCCCAAAGGGCGGTTTCTTTCGTACCCGCCAGGCCTAACGCTGTAGCGATGCGCCTATGTAGTGTTGTCCTGTGGGAGCGCTAGGCCTAGTCATCGTCTCCTAGCCGGCTTTTTTTGGCATTGGTGACCGCGCGGGGTTGTTGGGGGGGGGGAGCCGTCGGAATGTAGAATGCCCGTGTGAAAACTCGGCTGCGTTAGCCCCGCCAGTACGGCTCCCCGGGTTTATTTATGCCGACCTGCTATCGGATCGGGCCGTCATAGCGAGTTTTTAACTCTGGTACCACACCTTCGTTCTGATTGTTTGGAGGAGTACAACTGAGCTCCTGCGTTTAGCTTCGCAATTCACACACACAAAAAACAAGCAACGCGGCAATTTGGGACTTTCGCTAGCGTAATCACTCAGTTGACACCACGCTTGTCTTTTCTTTAAAATACTGATTCGCTTTCGTTACTTTCGTGAGAACTCGTTAAAAGAAAAACGCGACGTTGGCACGCACGGAAGTCGGCAACGTTTTTGTTTTGTTTTTTTCACACGGGAAAAAAAAGGAATTGCGCGCGTTCTTAGCTCGAAATTTGCCTCGTTGACCCCTTTTTTTACTCGAAAGTGAGAGGGTTGGAAACGAGACGGTTTCCAAGCTCCGCCGCCTTTTTCTTGAAATGAAGCGTCAGACAAAAAAAAAAAGTGAGAAAACACGAAACGTGCTTTGCGATTTTTGAGTGTTTCCTGGTTCATTTAGCTGTTAGAAAAAACAAAAAACAACCCTACTTCCGTGGTTTAGGCTGGACGGGAGTGCTCCCCTTCTCGGCCAACTGACTCGTCATTTCGCTCGCAAGTCCGCTGTCGTGCGTTGACTCATCCGGCTTGCGGTTGCGCCGCCTTTCCATTGTGCGGCTTGGCCGGACGTCTTGCAAGAGCGAGATAGCCGAGTTCCGGCGCTTGCGATCCGGCGTTCGACGCGATTACGGTACAGCCAATCGACCTTCACAGGTAGAACGGTGATTCTGTGAACTAAGGAAAAGCAATTTGAAAAAAATCCGCGAAAGGTTTCGCTCAAAGCAGTGGGTGTGCATTGAAAACACTCCCCTCCGAACGACGCCTGCAGGATGTCGCGTCGGATCAACCATCTCAACCCACCTAGTGTGTCGACTCGACAGTCGCATTAAATGACGCCAGCAGGATATCACGCAATCGCGTCAAATCAACCATCTCAACCCAGCCTAGTGTATCGACTCGACAGTCGCATTCTTCTCGCACCCTGTCATCTGCGGCCTCTCAAACGTAGCACGAGCTTCTAGTGCAGCTCCGTTGGCGTACTTGTGTGTAAACTAAATACCGTTATAGAAATTGTCGGGATGCAATCGGATCGCATCGAATTCCTTCGCGCACAGCGTGTCGATTCTAATCTCGTGAATGTCGGGTGTGACCGTCAAACATGGTTAAGTGAGGCTCAGCTATTCTTGTTTGTGAAGATCACGAGTTCAGGCTCAATCTGGCACCTCAAGCACCAGTGTGTGTAATCTGGAAAAATCGGTGGCTGGTCATACAATCCGGTGTGCCAACCTTCTAAGGGTCTATGAAAACGCAGTTTTGACTCCCTCATTATTGTGCAGGAAGGAAACGCGTGCATGGTTATACAAATTTTGTTGGCTATACTCGGGGACAACTTTTTTGTGTTAATGAAGGGAAAGCTACAGGGGGGAGGGGGGGGGTGAGCTTACTGCAACATGTAGTCCTCCGTGAAGAAATCCAGCTTGACTCGCTTTCCGAATGCTGGCCATGTTCGAATAATACTGCTGCATAGGATTTGCTACGTGTGCTTACACACATATTTGCAAGTTCAATTCGACACAAGCTCCTTTGGAGAGTCGTCGGAACAGTTGGAGTGCAACGGGAAGTCTCCTGAAAATGGAGACTCCATTTTGACTGTTGACATGCACCTAAAGCACGCAACGTTGTCGCATGGGCAGAAAATTCAAAATGGCACTTCATGATGCAACACGTTATCTCCTTGGTTCAGGCAGTGTCTCTATATAAAAAGAGCGTCCCGTAGCCAATGGCGTTTTTATCTTCACGCGTAAAACTGGGACCTATTGTGGGACTATATTCTTCAGCGGTGGTACACCCCCCACTTAGTTTGCTTAGCCTTCCCTTCATTGCCACAGAAAGTTGTCACCGAGTATAGCATCTGTCATTGACTTCAAGTACTGTTGCATCAGCTTATGGATTGATGATTGGTGTGTGGGGTGTAATGTTCCGAAACCACCATATGATTACGAGACGCCGTAGTGGAGGGCTCCGAAATAGCATCAGCCTATGTTAACGATCGCTGATCCACTAACTGTTGGACCTATTGCAGTGCTACATAAATTTTGTGATTCTGCGATTTTTTTCAAGCATCTATGCTCGTTTCTTGGTGAAAGTTAGGAACTTGTAATGTTTTGATGCGAATTTGACATAAATTTACTTATACATGCCTTTCTGTTAGGACATCTAGAGTTGGGAGTGCTATCACACCTGGCTGCCTCTTTTAGCTGTTATACCTTGCGATTGCTGTGCTCAGTGACTTAATGCACATGACTGCACATCCAGTCAGTGGTCCAAGTTGCAAAAGACTTGGTGGAGTAATCGCAGGACTGTGGGAACACAAAACTGTGGAAGGATATAAGTGTATGTAGCAAATATCAGCCCAGTGGTTAATTGAAGATTCTGGTCGAATATTGGTGGAATATAATGTAAGACTTGACAAGCCAGGCAACAAAGTATGTGTCGGGGAAGGGACAGGAGTACGCATTTTGTACACTAATTGTGCATCCTCGGGGTAGCCACAACATGGTGTTAATAGTTCCGATACCATAGATTCATTGAACATTAACTGCAGTAGTGGTTCCTCAACTGTCTTGGGCCTGTGTTGCTCCATATTGTACTGCTGTAATACGGTGCTTGCGTGCTGTATGGGGGCAATGAGTGGGAAACTTTGTGACGTGGTTTTGTTGTGAAAGTGTTAAGGCAACCCGGTTTACTTTCACGGAACTTAGTTCTTGCAAAACGGCTAGGAGCCTTTGCAATATGGTATTGCAGCCTTGCTTGATAGAAACCTGTTTACATTGCCCAAGGCCTGTATTCTGAGATGTTAATTAGGCAGATGGTCATGCTTGAGCATGATAGGGCAGTTTCACTTCTGAAGACCTTGCCACATCGCTCTCACTGCACTATGCCACACTGTTGCCTAAAGTGGTAGTCTTAAAAAATACGACCCCACCTGCTAAAGTGAACCCCTAACGCAAGCTCGATTTGTGTAGCTTCTTAGTCGCGTCAAGCAATCTTTGACAGGCGAGTCGAGACAACTTCATTTGATGTGAAAAGATTAGTTACCGAATTAGTAGCTTCAAAATTAGCAGGCATTTTCAGATGTTTTGCTTCACAGCACAGGCACATGCTTGCAATTCATGTGCTGATGTACGGATGCTTGCTTGTCATGAGTTACTAGTGGCTATGATGTACCCTGTAACCTGTGTGAAATACTTTTGGTTGTTAGACCTGGTGATACCATTGATACAGTTTGAAGCTTGCGTATCGATTCTTGCCCCAAACCAGGTGGAACTTTGTCAATCCATCCACTGTGCATGGCCGCTCCCACGTGGTCGGCATTTCTTGGGTACAGTTCATTTTTCAACTGGGCTGGCTCCCTTCTGTCAGGGAGTATTTATCTGGTCGCCGCTTATTCTCGGAGTTGAGGCCCGCGCTATTTTCAGAAGGGTGCTCCCCCTCCCCCCTGCCCACCCACTCTTCTGCGGTGTCCGCCGCTGCTGGCATGGACCTCTTTGCCGGCCAAGTGGAGAAAAAAGCGTTTTGGCGACGGTTAGTGCAGTTGGATGCCTGTGGCAGGCACTGCTTGGATTCGTCGGGGCGCCCCGCCACGAGTCTTTTTTGCTCGACTGTAGCAGTTGTGCGATGACGGGGAGATGTGGGGCCAAATGCGAATGTCGGCAGTCTTCCACGGGCAATGCCGCTTTCATTGTGTTGGGCATTTGAATAAAAATGCCTCCCATGCACCGACTTGGGGCTGGCTCGTTTGGCATCGAGCTGCAGTTTAAGGTGTTTGGGTTGCCCAGATTTAGAGGTGGCGGCTGTGCTTGTCTTGGCATGCTTTGATTGGTTCCTCATACTTAGCTGCACAAGACAGCTTTTGCGCCAATTATTTTGCTTCTCAAAGGGGTTGTCGAGAACAAGCACTCTGTGCAATGTTTCACTTGCAGTTGTAGCAATAAACTTGAAAAAGAGTACCACAATTTTTGGAGATGTCTACTGCAAGGCGTGGAGCGAGTGTTGCGGAGTCTTAACGTGCACATATTGTTTCTTTGTATATATAGTTCTTGAACTGCCTGCATTTTTGCTATAACAACTTGCTTGCATATATGCTTCACTCATCAAATGACTCTGAGATTAGTTTTCGAAGTAAGCTTTTATGAGGCAAGTGCAGCAAAAGAGGCTACCTTTAGGGTGAGCTTTGACTGTTTGACTAATCATTGGATGGATTACATGGCATTCAATAAACCAAAACTGGCTGTGCCACAACCCACTTGTCGCTAAAACCACACTAGTGTTTACAGAGGTGTGGTGACTTGTCATTGCACGCATTACGAGGTAGCCTCAATACTATCTCATAGTAGGCATCATTATTAGCTTGTTGACCTTGCCACCCTCATTGCTGGCAGTTTGGCAACAGAAAATTGAGCTTGTTACCTTTCCTTTAACACTACATAGCAGTTCACATTTTTGTGTAAACCAGGCTATTATTAGTAGTTTTTGTTATTCAACACTTGTGTAATTGTACTGGAATGGGTTGGCTAAACCTATTTATAAAACCATAGTTTGTGCTGGTGTGGTTCCCTAAATATCGCTCTTGTAAGAACGTACTGCAAAGGACATACTTGTGCTTCAGCTTGTCTTACGATCTTTGGAGTGTCACTTTTATTATTGTATTAAGCCAAGTTAGCTAACCATGAATGGAGTGTCCCTTTGACAAGTGTACACTCTGTGCTGGTCTAGATTCCGAGGTCTTTTTTTTTTTTTTCTTGCGCAGTCTTCCGGCGTGACAGTCTCTAATGAAGCCAAGACAGTGTATGAGGAGGTGAAGAAGGATAAGAAGTACCGCTACATCATCTACCACATCAAGGATGAGCGGGTCATCGACGTGGAGACCACGGCAGAGCGTTCGGCCACCTATGCGGACTTTTTGGAGCAACTGCAAAACTACAAGAACGAGTGCCGCTACTGTGTCTTCGACTTCCCCTGCCTCCATCCGCGCTGAGGGTGCTTCTGAATGCGCCATGTCCGTCGACCGCCTTGTCCTCATGACCTGGTGAGGGCCTGAACACCATTGGCATCAGTGTGTATGTTTGGTAATGTCTTCAGGGTCATGGTCTTGAATTTTCAATTACTTCACTTATGGATTTACCGAAGGATGTAGGTTGAAGGTACAATTTCTAACCGCACATTTGTTTCCGGTTAGGCCTTCCATTCATTTTTCATTTTGATCTCTCATTAAAAGCTGTAAGCGAAGTTTTTTGTACTGTTCCACTTTGTTTCACTTAACTGATAGGATACTTCAGTGTGGGATAGCTTGCAACAACTTGTCTGATAAGGATATTCAGCCGTGTGTTACAACAAAGTAGACCCCCCCCCCCCCTTTCCTTTGTTTTTAGCCTTGCTGCTTGAAAAGTCAAGAATTCGCAATATTTGCGTTGCAGTATGTGAGGGAAACGTGTTGTACTATACACATCTTTGCATCCCCTGTGACTATGTTCCTATCTTTATGCATATGGGGCATGCTTTAATCGGTGCTGTTTCAAAATGAGTTGCACCTTCAGCAGTTAGATGCATAATTGGTCGAACCACTGTGCTTGCCAAGTAGCAGAATGAAGCCCGTAAATTGGAATAGACTTCACATGGCTTGGGATGCATCTTATTGTAACGTCAGACATTTGGTACTTCCAATTTTCTGAGAATGTACAGTGCTCATGGATTGAGACACGAACATTTAGGGCTAAGTTAGTGTCACATTTGTGCAATTTCGACTATAACTTGCCAAAACCAAAATGGCTTTTGGCGGCCACGTCTTTAGCAACATTACACAGTTTGTCGTGAGCAGTTGTGTACACCAGTTGATACAAGTATTGGCGTTGCATTTCACTTCATCAGCACCATACGTTCTTTGTTCAGCAGCAAATGTTTGTGCTGCACGGTTTGTAACCGCGTCATCCACAACCAATTTGGCTCCCATATGTAGGTGCGCAATAGCAAATGCAGTTGGCTTTACAAGAACCGTTGGTTCAGCAGTCGATGCAGTAGTGACTGCATATTTAACCTGTATTCGTACAAGGGATCAAATTGTGATCAGAGCCCACAAATTGAATGTCAAGCATCCCAGCTTAATGCAATTAGTGAAGTCCGAAATAGCAAGTAGTTTATGCATGATAATCATCACGTGATGATGGTAAACATGATGATAAAATTTTCACACCTTCCATCACCGTTCGACTTGTGCAGGTGTCCCGAGCAGGCAAAGATCAAGCAGAAAATGCTGTACTCCAGCAGCTACGACGCGCTCAAGAAGGCCCTCGTGGGCGTCTACAAGTACGTCCAGGCGTGCGACTTTGAAGAAGTCAGTCAGGAGGCAATAGAGGCCGCCTTCCACTCATCGCGCAAGTAGGGACATACGCAACACTCGTCACGGGCTGAGGCACCACCCTCCTTTTTGGTTTTTTTTTTTTTGTTTTTCTTCGCCTCCACAGATTTTTTTTTTCCAAGTTTACACGAAACAAGGGGGGTCGTAAAGAAAGAAGTTTCCACTTCTGGTCGACATGGAAAGTAAGGAAGCAAGCAGCTGGAGCGACGGCAAGCGTGTGCATGCACTCCCTCTGCTAGAGTGTCAAGACCGGCCGCGCCTTTCGTTTGCGGTTGTTTCTGCCGGTGGGTGCTTTCCTCCGACGGCTTCTTACAATCGAACCCCTGGTACCCTGCTGTGCCGAACCCTGTCGAACTTCGTTTTTTTTTTTTCCTCCACTGTTCGATTACTATTCTGGATGTTCACGTTTAACCATTTCTTTTCAGTCTCCTTCAACGTTGAACAGAATCTGCCACGCCCCTTCTCCGCAAAAGAAGTGTAAAACCGGTTGATAGTGGACTGCATTACTGGCACTTTTGAGACTTCGAACAAGTTTCATTGTTGTGTTGTTTTGCTCTTTTTTTTCTGTGTTAACCAGTAAAGCAAAGTTTCACTTGGCGATCTTAATATGTTCAAGCACTTTGCATAGCACAGAGGCATTTTGAATGGCTGGTGTGAGCGGTGCTCATTTGTTAGTGTATAATTGAGCTCTACAGCGCAATTTTTTTCCCCACTCTTAGCTTGGGGGCAACGGGGTTAAAAAAAGAGGGTTTCAGGGTTCCTTTTTATCGGAGTTGTGGTCTTTTTTTTTTTTTTTTTTCCTGGACGCTTGCTGCAGTTCATTCAGCCAATTATTTTTCACATGTGCTAGTGTGTTTACCCACTTATAACTATTTATTGAGTCACGAGGTTGTTTCTATTGTTCTCCATTTTTTTTCTGCCGGCATTTTCAATTAAGTTTGAATGACAGTAAATTTATTATTTTGAGTGATGCGCGCAGTCCTTGTTCCACTTTTTTTTTCCTTATCCAATTGCTCTAGGCTTTTTTTTTATCTCGTATAACTGTGTACATGGACAAGTGCGAGGTGTGTTTTGTACACCGGCAACAAGCGAACGTGCTCTGGATAAATAATTGCGGAAGCAAGCCCCCCCTTTTTTTTTCATGTGGTCCGCACGGAGATGCCATCGCATCTTCCTGTTACGGGTGGGCTGAATTGGATGGAAAAAAATTTTTTTCTTGTGCCCTGGGGAATGAATCAATCTGGTGAACACTGATGCAAATAAAAAGTATGAAAATTTTTATAAAGCTGATCCTTTCTTTTTTGTGTGTGTGGGAAGGGGTGTGTTAAATCTGTGCTTTTGTATAAAAACCTCTATCATTTGCTCCCACCATGGAGCTTCAAAATGGAATGTTTGTTAAGGAACCTGAAGGAACAGGAAAAGCTCTATCATTTGTCAAAGTGGCGGTCTAATTCAAAAGCTACCAAATAGGCAGCCGTTCCGTTTGAGTGATTTGAGGAATACTCTCGATTCTTCTGTACAGATAGAATCTCGCTTGTCTAGCGGGCCCAGCCGGCTGCTCCAGCTACCCTCTTTTGCAGAAACATGTAAAGACACATGCCATAATGATAACCAAACTTGTCGTATAGCATGCTAGGCCCTTGAAGCTATTGTGCCGTAGAAGCCGCGGCCAAGAACAATGTCGACAGCCACATGCTCGACTGCTCTAGACCAGTGCGAGTCTACTGTGTACCTGTATAGTGGCACTGGAAGAGTTCTTAAAATTGACAGTTGTGTGGCTCCCTCTGAAAGACTGTGTAGCCCTTAGCCAGAAGTTTAATGCTCACATAATGAATGTGAAGGTGATCACATGCTTATACTGGTCCCATTAACATCTCTACTTCTGTTGCTAGTTTGGCTTTGGTTCTCTGTGCCGCAAGGAAAGGGAACACCTGTGCGTGTGAAATTAGCACCATCAACTAACCTAGAGTGCATACTGCATGTACAGTTAGTTGCCAAGTGTCCTCCTCAGCGTCTCTGACTTAGCTTAATTATGTCTGTACATTGTAACTCGTGGCGTCTTCTAAGCAGCTCGCATGTTTCGACAACTGGCGCGATTCCACACTCCTCCCATGTAACATTGTGTGCATTAAGAACTCCTCGCACTAGATGTTATTGTAGGGTAATTTATGAAAACAGTGCAGTGCACGGGTGTGGTTCTATAGTAGGACATTTGGTTGCCATGTAGAAGACCTGGGTTCGAGTCCCACTCGAGCTGAAGATATTTTCTTTATTTGAGTCTATAGGTTTTGCTTGAACCAAGGACACATGATGCAGATGCCTGTTTAAACAAGCTGCTTTGCACAATGGATATATGTGGGTTCTGCAGCATACAATTTGCTATATATCTAGAATCCTCCTATCAAAGGCCCATGGTGTCAAGTGCGAAAGTCTTGCCATAGTCTCAGCTGATCACATTTTTGCACCAATCCTGTCTTAGTTTCGAAACAAGGTAGGCTGGATTCCTTGCTCAGCCAGACATCCTTTGTTTCTCTTATCTAGCTCATTCGAATATTTCCGAATTTATCAATGCCACTCAAAGCCTAATAAACCATGGTTTTTTAAAATGAAGCAAAATATAGCCAAGGTCTATCTAACAAGTGGTGGCACCACTTGATCACATGAACAAATACTTCAAGACTGAAAGTTTCACCTTCGAAAGAAGTTGCTTGGTTGAGGGAAGGCGGACTGGTTGCCACAGATGATATCCTGTTGCTGATGGCGCCGACGGCAAGAGAGGATGGGCCAAGAACCGGGTAGCAGGATCTTTGAGTTTAATACCTATGAAGCTAAAGAACAAGCGCTAACTTTAGTCTAAAAAGAAATATGGCTAATGAATGAAAAATCATAAGTAGAGCACACAGTTTTGACTACAAGATGGCAATCATGGGATTTGACAGATACTAAGTGACACTTTCGCCAAAAGAGGTAGTCCCTGAACACTGCCTCAGGCAGGATAGGAGGTGTCGAGTAGAAAGGTAGCAAGCACTGGATCACAGACATGCATGGAATAAGCTGCATGTGCCTTGTGCTGAGCAAACACCACAACGATTACCCACTGCACACTGGTGTCAAAAAGAAAAATTACGAGCACTAGAAAGCACGACTTGCACACAGTGAGAGAAAGAGAATAAAACCTTTATACAGAGAATTGCTAGGGACTGTGCCAGCTAATGTCCAACAGAAAAGTCTCAGCAGTGACTTGAAGGCATACATGAAAATGGCTGCATCTTGCGCCCTGCGACGAGCATACACAATCATGGTTGTTGACACCTGGTGTCAGATAGAGATATTGGGAGCGCCAAGATGATGATATGTGGGGTTTAACGTCCCAAAACCACCATATGATTATGAGAGACACCGTAGTGGAGGGCTCCGGAAATTTCGACCACCTGGGGTTCTTTAATGTGCACCCAAATCTCTGAGCACACGGGCCTACAACATTTCTGTCTCCGTCGGAAATGCAGCCGGGATTCGATCCCGCGATGTGCGGGTCAGCAGCAGAGTACCTTGGCTACTAGACCACCGTAGCGGAGCTGAGAGTGCCAAGGCAAGAGTGTCATACTGAGGATCACTAGGACTGTGACACCTAGTGTTGAGCAGAGAAATCGCAACACTGGCTTTCGAGCACACATGGAAACAGCTGCATGCGACCTGCAACGAGCATACACGATAGCGATTACTCACCACATGACATCTGGTGTTAGGCGTAGAAATCAAGAGCACGAAGAGGGATGGATGGACGTTGTGAGCGTCCGCTTTATAACGGGGCGGTGACATGTGTGCCACCAAACTCAAATGAAAAAAAAAAAAGCAAAAAGAAAAACTTTTTATGTTGGCCTAACACCTTACCTGCTTTGATTAAATTATTCTTATAACAAAAAAAAAAAAAGCAATTTGACAGTCCATCTCTCTGTCTCTTAGGCAGAATGACCTACTATTTGTCTTTTATTTACTTTTTTGCCACCAATATGCTGACCGTCTCTTACTTGCTTCTATCACGAATGTGTTCAGCTTTCTATGGTTGTTCCTAAAACCCAAGGCCCTGGATGGATATGGCCACAATCAACCAAACACGTTCCATCGTTTTCTTTGCTCCCCCACAGCATGTACATTGCTGACGTTATTGACTGTTCGTGCCACCCACTGTGGAGCAGAAAAGTTTCCGCACTGGCTTACAGGCACACGTGGATGCAGCTGCATGCTTCTTGTGACCTGTGGTGCGCATGCACCCCGACTACAGACTACCCGACTTCTGCTGTTGAGCAAGGAAATCACGAGCAGCAACAAGCAACACTTGCGTACAGAGAATCGCTAGGATATCGAATCGGCCACCCAGTGCTGCGCAGAAGTCTCAGCATTGGCTTAAAGGCGACGTGAAAACAGCTGCATGCATGTTCTGACCTGCGACAAGCACACACGACACAGACTACATAACATCTGGTGTCAGGCGGAGAAATTACGAGCAGCAGAAGGGAAACGTTAGGTTATTGACCGTATGGTACACCTATTGCCATTAAAAATGTAGCGCAAGACACGCAGACTAAAAGGAAGAAACAACATAGGAGTGTTGACTATCAGCGAGAGTTTACCGAACACCACATGGGTTTATACCACGCTCGTAACCATCGCATATGTACCCGCCACTTTACAAAGACAACTACCAGCAAAGGAAAAGCTTTCTTAGTAGTTTTTATAGGTAGTTGATGCTCATATGTTGTCTCTCGTCTTTTGTGTCTTGTGTTCCTTGCTCTACAAATAATATTCGATGTACAACCAACAGGTAAAACCTGCTGAGAGGCAGACATGTTAGGAGCACTGATGGACACATACCAAGGCTCTAAAACGCTGTTAAAAGCAGGCATACCCTGCTTACGGATGATTTCAGCATCCTAGAGACGAGTGAAAGACACATAACGTTCTTGACATGAGATGTATGTTTATTTTTCTACGACCACTTGAGGTATGACTACGATGAAGGGGAACCAAAAAAAAGTTATGAACATTCGCTACATCCACGCTCACACCAAGAATCAAATGGCATTCAATTGTAATGTGGACAGCAGGGAGACATCGATAAGAGAAAAGCACGCATGACCGGGCAGGTCAAACGAGAAAATGCAGTGCAGCGTGGCACATCACCAAAGAGCATTATGGTGCTTGAATAACATAGTTTAACACGTGGCAGGGCCCTCTGTTGGTCCAATTTCATGGCCGATACTGATGTTTACGACTTTCTCATCATGAGTGGCATCGCACCGATGGCATAAACGCTGCTCGTGACCTGGAAGCTTCAACGGCGTAACTTTAGAGGGCACACTAAACAGAAAAACGATTTTTCTCTTATTAGTAAAAACTTTAACATAACCAAAATCGCCACGCTTGCTGCGAGAAGATGCTTCATGAGTGTGAAAACGCGCGAGAGGAGAAAATGCCAGTGGCGATGCCACCTTGAAATTTTCGTAACAATCATCGTGACCTCTGGCTTTGACATTGTCAGCGAGGGCCCTTGTAGTTTTTAATCGGCAAAGATGAACTACAATGTGTCCTCTGAGAGTGCCAGGGAATTAACGTGCCAAATTTCAGTAAAATTCATTGAAACATTCTCACAGAAATACGAAAAACAACATGGACATCAGCGACGCCTTGCGCAGAGATTTTGGCGTGAAATCTAAGAATGAAACATTGACGTTAATTCTCTTTTCCATTGACAAACCTACAGTTAAGTTAACGTCATTAGAGTGATCACAATAAAATAATTGCTATTGCTTGACAAAAAGGGTGCTCCTGCTTAAAGTTAAAAATAACTCTTAGTTGCCATCAACAAGACAGGACCACTTGTCAAAGCATGCGTCCAAGTTGAAGGACTTATGTCTCTTTCATGTCTAGAATTCAGCAAGTCAAAAAGCAAAGGTGTTTCTTAACACTGCTGTTGATACACCGGCCGACAGAAATTCCGACTACAGATGACGCTGCTACGTAAAAACCCCACTGTAGCCCGTGCCCAACTGCACACATTCACGTTAAGGATACGCCAAACACGATCGAAACACACAAAGGAGGTGCAAATTGTTTCTCTTCAAGACGCACAATCACAGGCCACTTCCGAGCTGGGGTGCAAAAAACCGTCCGAACAAATGTACATGGGCGATAACATGACAGACAGTCGGGACGCGACAAACAATTTACACGCGAAGAAGGAGGACAAGAGACGTAAACGTCACAGACGTGACACATGCACCTCGTGACATCGTCACGAGTGTGCACAACGCGAATCACCGGGCTATTCGACATTTATGCCACCTGGTGTCAGGTAGGCAGATTACAAGTACTGGGGAAGGGGTGGGGACAAATACAATGAAGTGCTATTGAATTCAAGGAGGAATGAAAAAGGGGGGGGGGGGGGGGACGAGAGGCTCGTTCAAACAGCCGGGCCTGCGCGATTTGAGCTGCAACGTGGAGAAGGGCGAATCACATTTCATTTTGCATGGCGTCACCATATAATGCATTTGTTTATGCACGATGGCCCGAGTGCTGTGTAGAGAGCGATCGCCCGGGGCCAAACGTCATAAACTTCGAAAACAAAGGAACGTACAAGGCCTCAAAACAATGAGGTGTTAATTACAAATAAGAGAAGACAGGTAATAGACACAACATATAAGCAGATGGCATGCAGTTCTTGGTCTACAGCGAACCAACATAAAACATTTGTCACAATGTTATTGCATTTTCATTCATCTCATTCAGAATCATCTCGAGATGTGAAGTGATGACAGGCAGAAAACGAGATAAAAATTCCATGCAAAAGTTGGTCAGCTTGTAAAATGCTTCCAGCATAAATAAGTGACAAAAAAAATATAGACCTCTCCAATGTATATTCACAATGCAAGATGGCAGCTCAACAAACACTAGGCCGGCAAACAAGTGAAAGAAAAAAAGAGGGCTCGTTATGGCAATTGTACACACATGAACATTCTCACCTTTAAGAACACGCTAAAGGCGAATTGCACTTTCGAAAGTGAAAGAAAAAAATGCACAGACAGGGGTAAAAAAATGCACCTGACAAAAATCTGCGATATATTCTTTTTTCAATGCCCTTAAGTACCACATGAGGTTCTGCGGTCACGACACAGCACATTTAGAAGTGTCATGTCTGCTATCTACAATAGGAACGAACCGCAAAAACTGTGGGCAATAAAAGTCTGGTGGAACGGATATGGGGAGGGTGTCGCAGCATGCAGGAAATGTACACCAAGCGAAAGGGATCGGGAGGAGATGTACGAGACGTTAAATGCACCGGTCTGGAGCAGGGTGAAACTTGGCTGCAAGACGGGAAGTTTCGTTGATACAGTGCAAAAGAGAACTGGTCTCAGAAGGACAAGCTTCTCCACCTCATCGCAATTTTTCCGCGAAGAGATCAGTTTACAGGAGAGAACTTGCTCAAATTTCTTGTTAAAAAATTCAGTGACAAAAATAAAGTTCAGTTTAATACTTGAGGACTTCAATCTTGCCTTTCACTCGGTGATAACTAAGCGAAAACAGATACCATCGAAATCAGTGATAACACTATGTTCACCGGAACACCGGAAAGTTGTCATGTTCACTGGAACACCAAAAAACGTGTTTAGCGAAACACCAGACAGCGGTCATGTTCTACAGAATAATGGAGAACTGTCACATTGGCCAAACAATGGGAAACTGTCACCAGAAAAACATGACCATGTGTACGACTATCATGCAGGTGGCAGTGCAGAAATTTCAATGGTGGTAGCGCCACCTGTCATCTATATCAGCCTACCACTCCGTCTTTTCAACAGTGACAGATCTGGTACTCCAAGCGTCCAAGGCTTGCGTTTTTGACGCTCTTTTGATGAACGACTTGGTTGCGATTGTAAACTTTGGATTCCCAGACCTAAAGGCCAGGCCTACGGAGATCTGCTCTCTATTTAGTTTTTTGGGGAACCAGCACAATGTCTGGCGTTTATATAAAGCCTATGAACTCCTTTGGTGCATGAATCTTCACTTCACGAACACCACATGAGCAATACTCTAAAAAATGCGATCTTTCTCTTGCAGCCAAGGTTACACATTACTGGAAGACCGCAACATTACAACGCCGAATGACACAAGGCTCAAATTATGCAGGAAAACCTACACTTTGTGCTATGCTGGCCTCCACCGAAAACGAATTTCCACCAGCGTTCCGTGAAACGGGCAGCAAAGCTCGCCCGGTTGTAAAACGTGGCTTTGCAGTCCACGCAAGCCATTAAAATGCTGCACGCAAGTTTTAACAATCAATGCAGTTTTAACTTGCATGACACACAAAGATTATAAGTCAATTGCAGCAATCACACACGATAATTTTGGTACAAAACTGATCAACAAACCCAGCAGGAACGAAAGAAGAGAGTACACACCAACGATTTGTAGATGCTTAAAAAGAGCATCATTTGGGCTATTTAGACAGCGTAACCCACTCGCCGCATCGAATTCGAGGCAGTGGATCAAGCAAACATGTCACACGGTAGCTTCTGCATTCAGTTTTGCGCCTGTGTCATTGCATACACCACAGCACAAAAATGTTTTCAACATTAAAAGCTATGCATGGGGATGTGTATCGGTCACTGGGTGAACGAGCAACACATGTCAAGAGGTTTAAATCGCACGACAGCAAGGCTGCACATTGGAATGCAGCTAGAGGACTAATTTAACAACTGGGGATGATCACACACGATTACAGAGCACACACTGCTATGGAAAAAGAACCTTGTAAAGAACACCTCGACCTCCCAAACACACGCAACCACGACTTTTTTTAGCCAGTCGGCAAGAACAAGCGCGGTGCAACGTGGGCTTTGGGATTATTTTTTTTTTTCATCTTAGAAAAAAGTGGCAGTGACTTACCGACTAGCTCACAACAACAATCTCGTCCACTCGACTATCTTGCCAACACGATGCAGCTTTCTTTCATTCATTTGGAGAGGCGCTCGACCGGCCGTCTAGCCCTGTAGGCAACTCTGCGCCATTTCCGTCTCTGCTGCTAGACTAAATTGCAAAACAGCAATGACAACTATGTACTCTGCAAAGAATGTCGAACAAATATAGCCGAGGTTTAGCAACACGCTTGACACAATTGACTGCACAGTGCTATCCGAGTCAACTAAACTCAAACCAAATTCATACAGCTTCCAATTAGAAAAAAATGTTTGAAATAATGCTACTTTGCAACATTAAGACGATTTGAAATTTTCAGACGTTCAGTTTAGACTTGCAGAATGCTGCACTAAACTGCACGAAAAGAATATGTCGCAACCATGACAGACCCAAGTGCGCAAACGTCACGATCGTGATGACATAACGCGATTCTGTCGAGCCTGGTGATTGAACAGCAATTGGACCGATGAGCTTTTTAACGGGGACATAAGCGACACGACAACGCAACCTCCAGGGTCGTCCGACGCGCGCCGAGACCTCTCCAAAAAAGCTCGCTCGTTTACCACCACAACACCAACGACTCACGACAGGGGGGCTGGGCATAGAATTTTTTTTTCCAACAACTGCAGGGAAATGCGAAACACTCTCCGGAGAAAAACAGCGCACAACAACGGTCAAGAAGAGTGAAACAGCACATGGCATCCGCTAGCTACGAGAGCTCAACTACAACACGCACCCCCCCGGAGTAGTGGGCACTGTTGCTCGACGACCGGGGGGCCTTTCAGGGCGAACCTTCCAACGAGCCGTACTTGTTTCAGCTGTTTTCCCGATTTCTATGAGATTCTGCAGCTGACGCGGACACCAGACGTTGTACTTGGTGGCTTTAACAAAACAACCGAGTCGGCATTCTTTTTTTTTTTTAGTGCAGGTACGGCCAGTGACTCGCAACGCCCGCCAGCAGTTTTCTCGGGTGTGAGCGGCTGATTTCATTGCAAGGATTCCTAGACAGTTTAACAATATCCGCGACATTGTTTGTAAACAAGGTTGTAGCCAAATGTAGCAAAAAAAAAAAAAAAACGCAACAAAGCTATGCACTTGTGACTTACGATCTTCATTTACACAAGGCATCGAGACAATGCCGCAGGTGACAGAACACCACCTCCTCACAGTTGAACATGATTTAGGAAGCCGAGTTGAACAGAAGACCAAGTGAGAACAACCTAACCTACAGCATCAAAGAAGTGCTGCGCATAAGCTTCGAAGCAGTACGACCTAATATACAGCATCAACCAAATGCTGCGCATAAGCTTCAAAGCAGTAATGTGAGACTTGCAGCAAACAGCATCAGCGGTGAGAGAGAGAACTGCATCGAAGAAAGGAACGCCAAACTGAATGCAGTCTCCGAGACGCTCTTCTTTCACAGCACATGTTCAATAACAGCCAGCCGCACAAACCTGCCAAACCACAAATAGCCTTACCTATGCCAGTCTTCGAAGCCCCCCGAAAAATCCGCAGTCTTGTCAACTCGAGATCAGTTCATCCCCAATTCTTCACCATGATTCATCGCGATCACGCCTGTTGTGAGCAACATCGGTGCTTAGATTACTCCTCATCAACTCAAACAGGGTGCGTCTCAAATGAGACAGCTCTTTTTTTTTCTTTTTTTTGTCCATACCACCGCCACCTGGTGACGGCAGTCCGACTTTCCTTCTGACTAGAGTACAAAAATGGAAAAAATGTGTTACATGGTGGTGTCGCCTTTATAAAGACTCCCTGAGCCCTCCGACTGGCCTCGACAATGAGGCCTGGTGACCGGTTCTGCATAACGTTTTCTACTCGCGGTCGTAAAGGACAGACAAACTAAAGAAAGAAGAAAATTAAGCTCGTCCGCGTCTTCAGTGCTAGAGGCGCTCAACGTTTGAGCCATCTGCCTTCCCCACAACCCCCGAGCCCGGCTGGAAACGCATCTGAGACAGCATTCCAAGGCATCGCAGGGTTACAGAGCTTAGCAGCCTCTGTGACGCCCCTTTATGCGTTTGTGATCTGCAAGAGGAAGACAGGACAAAGAGTTCTAGCTCAGTTTCGACACAGCTTTGAGACTTCATGACACGAGTCTGCTCGTGTGAAACGAATCACAGCCTGCCGACGGAGCGCTGACCGAGGGGCCTTCGCCGCCTCGCTCGGAGGCAAGCCCGCAGCGAGTGGTGATGGTATTATGAGCATGTAGAAAGCTTGCATATTCCATTGCAGCGGAGCAACACCAACTTCCGCGACAGGGCAAAGGTGCCCGAGGAGAGTGACGGATCGTGACGGAGACGCTTCGACTCGATGCGCCCGCCGCTTTGGCTGCTCGCCTTCTTCGATTCATAGGTAAAAAAAACCTGCACGCCACCTTTTTTTTTTCTTTCCGCGAGGGACAACCACGCTGTTGTTCAGGACAAGTCTTGGGACAAGGCGTTCTTCGGTGCAACCACTTCCATCACCTCCTGTCGGAATTGTGCATATTTGTGGTGAGCAAGGCTGGTGACAGCCAAGGAGCTGGTCAGGAACCAACTAGATGGCGAAATACTGCTTCATGGGTCGCGGGTGCGAGGGATAAAAAACCCCCAGCTGAACCAAAAACACCGGGGACGTAAGTCGCAAGCTCCGTCATGATGCGACGTTGCCGCGAAACGTAACGACAACCACCCCCATGCAGAGAATGCACTTGACGAAGAAGTGATGTGTGCTCTTCCTCCATCACCACTATGATGTACTTGTTGTCACAATGAGGTGTAAATGACAATGTAACTTGCGCGAGTGCAGCTCCCTGTATTTCTTTTTGTTCCTGAAATGAAGCGATTACACATACCCCTGTCAAAGGTGAAGTAAAAAAAAAAAGGAACATCATAATCTTTTCTGACATTCGAGGTACTCAGCAGCCTGCAAACATAACAAAGCTACACAACCGGATACAAAATTACATGGAAACGACGCCTGTTGCAACTCATCGTACAGGCGTTATATTACTTCCCCAGCAATCTGAGAAGAGCAGAAGAAAATTTCAGTAACAAAACATAGACGCATTTATGCAAGGCTTGGAATGTACTATTTGAAAACTGCACTCGCTGGCTTTAAAAGCAAAGAATAAATGACGTAGCTTCCAAAATTGGTCCAAGTTGAAGCAATAAAATGTGTGGAAGCGTATCGGGGCAAAATGAGCAATTGCACATTTCCGTTGCTCTATTACAACCAATGCAAAACAGTTTTCTGGAAAAATCATGCTGGGGTGAGCAGCGAACTGTGAGTTTCCTGTGTGTATACTAAAACAAGAGTTCGAAGACTTGAAATTCTATTATGGCATAAAACCTTGCACAAACTGCCCTGCGTAATGTCCCAGGCGTCAAATGTGATTGAAGTTCATTCGTAAAAAAGAGAAAGTGTCAAATTTAACAACGGGATGCAAACAAAACAAAAACTGACACACGGTGTGGCATGGTTGCTACAGCCGCAACGTTATGGTAAGAACATGACTGGCACAGAAAAGTTTGAAAACAGCGGCAGCACTTAAACTCAGTGGGCAAGCCTTACTCCAAGTCAGATGATACAGCACTGTGCCAAAAAAAAAAAAAAGAGAGACACATCAAAAGGGATGTTTCAAAAATATGAAAGAAGATCAACAAGGCATAACGTGCAACACTGAGCTTAAAAACACAGGCACAAAAGCGATAGATCGAAAAACATAATCATGCTTGTGCCACAATTCCCCATCTGAAGAAGCTTTTCGAAACCGAGCATGCCAACCGAAATAAACAGCTAGCATTTGTCATAATGGGGGAATAAATTAATGGCAAATAAATTAGCTCAGAGTGCAGGGCATGATTAACAGGTCTGGAGGGACTGGGGTATCTGGATATGCCAGGAAGGTGGGAATATACAGTTGAGATTACGAAATGAGGATGAATCTAACAAGGGGAACATGGGTGGAGGGGGAAATAAATACAAAACAAAAAACAAATGTAAGCGAAAAAAAAAATTTGAGGGACAACCTAAGGTATAAGCCAACGTTAATCGCTGGCACCATCTGGTGAGGTGGAACCGCGTGAAAGGTTTTCGGAGGCATCTGGACTGCTTGGGTTGCAGTCAGAAATCTCGGGCGTGGGAAAGAGAAGTGCTGCGGATGTGCCCAAGTCGTCCGTCGGTGATGCCTCGGACATCGTCAACATCGCGGTCACCGGCGCGGATGAGTCCGCAACAGAGGATGGCGAGGCGACGTTTATTGGCATTGCCGTCGTGGTATCGACGTCCTCTGCTGCGAGACGGGTGCCGCCGTCGGCACAGTCTTCCGGCACCTTGGCGTTGTCGAGGCGCCGCCGTCTGCATCGGCAGGGCCGGAGGAGCTTGGGGTAGATCAACACTTCACCGTGCGGACCTTTGAAGATGATGCCGCAGCAGACCTTCTCCCTGGTAAGAGAGGACAGAACCGCAAAACTTTATTGAAACAAATTATTCATATGGGGGAGTCACCCATTCAATCTGGTCTATCACTCTTGCTGTTTGGCCAGTGGACAGTTGCAGTTCTACTGCAATCCATTTTGGTGCCATATCCCCTTAGACAGCCGTGGCTACGTTTGCATATGTAACGAGTTCATGCTAGTAGACTCAAACCTCATTATAACGAAGTTGCATCACACACAAAAATAACTTATCTGCAAAATTCGTTGTAAAGGCACATTTCCAACACTCCCTCCGTTGCAAGAGTATTCTTCATTTGCTTCATTATAGCTTATATTTCGTTATATCTGGGTTTGTTATATCGAGGTTTAAGTGTAGCGTCAACTTGTGGCCAAAAGAGGGCTAGAGGTGACTCGTTAGATAAATTGAGCCTTCTGCATAGCAAATTTTTCTAGACCGTACCTCAATGAATAGTGTATGACTGTGGCCGATCACTTTGACAAAGGTACTATGATGTTCGACAGGTCGCGTTCCAGAACTTATGTCAAAAGTACAGTACAGACCGCTTATAACATAAGTCGCGGGAATCACGAATATCCGCACTAAATCAAAACGACCTTTTTCAAGGCTTGCAATTGCGCAAAACGTGTTAAGCAAGCACCCTTGTGTGTCTGAGAATCGAAACATACAAGATTTTTTAAACTTTCGAATGTTACAAAAAGTTAACGTCCAAAGACATGCGTTGCCAACTAAATGAACAAGAAAAAAATGGCCCAGAGGGAGGGGGGAGTCTAACAAGAGATAGCACCACTGCGAAAGTTCGCCGACTGTTGCTCAGACCAACTCGCTTCAGCACAATACACTGAATGTCAAATCACGTTTGGAATTTCACACTCTGAGCTACGCCAATCATTCGATTTCACGGGCGCGCACCCGTTTTCAAGACGTCACAATCGAATCGCAAACCACCATTCAAGCGCTACACGTGCCACCCTCGTTTTTATTAACTACATGTATCCCTTCCGACCAAATGCAGCCACTGCAGTTTCATTAATTCCGTACCAAACATCAACTTAGATTGCACGCAACTGCTACTGAAACGAAACCAACGCCGATTAGGCCTAGCCTGCCGCTGGGTATGTTGTCGCGGGAAGATTGTTCAAGGCATAAAGACCCGACATCGAAAAGACTGCACTCAAGCACTGAACCAAGAACAGCGTGCGTGATACGAACTTCGCATTTGCGGCCGGGAGATGAACAACGATGGAAGCTCGCCAAGCTTACGTAAGACAGCGCACTGGCAGCAGAGGCGAAAGCTCGCATCACAAAGCCATAAAAGGTTTTAAATTGACGGACGAGGGAGCAAACGCGATATCTGTAGCAAGCACGATAACAACGACGCTTTTACCGACAAGAAACTGTTACCCCGCAGTTGATCTTGAGCTGCGCACGGTCAGAGCCACGCTAGCGACGCTAATCCGTGTAGGTGCCGGTGCAAAGTCTCAGCCGTAGTTTTATTCGTCGCCGAGGCATCACCCTCGGTAAGCCCGCGGAGCGTGCTGCGGTTTTTTCCTCTTTTTCTCCCTCAACGATTCGTTCACTCCGCATCTCCTTTTCCTCCATAACGACCTCTTCGCTCGCTCCCCAGCGGCACACCCAGCGCACCTCCTTTCAGACGCGCACTCGCTACCGTGATTGTCACAAACATTGTCCAGAAATTGCATTATAACCAGTCTTTCATCTTTGGGGACTGCACAATAAGTGGCATGCGTATACATGGGCTTTGGGGGGGTGAACGGGAGTCCAAAAAGACCGCATTGTAATTGATTCTGCACTAAAGCGGTTATGCTAAAAGTGGTTTACTCTGTATTACATCCATTTTCTCGCAATAAACGCAACCCAAAATAAATGAGCCTATGATTTCATTCTTTTTATGTGAACATGAAACACGAACGACTGCAGAATAATGAAGTATTCAATTACGTGGTTATTATAACTTCAGAAACTCGTGCAATACAGCACATGACTTCACTTTTGCTCTTAGAATGTAATTTTGAGTATCATTCAATTATGGTACGTGACCTTGACACATTTGGTAGACAGTTCATATTAATTTGTGCCAGGCGGGCACTTATCTGCATGCGTAAGGTGAGAAGGATACTTTGAGCAGTGCCAGGTAATGCCTTATAACATGCAACTTTTCACCAGTGTCAGGAACCCAGATAGCACATCGGCAACATGGTAGGTGATCCTTTTAAGCGGGGATAAACGCTGGTTTGAATTCTTCCCTGATGGCCTTCCCTCCAGTTGAGCGATTGTGGGGAGGGGCAAATATTAGTCAGGTAAAATGCTGATGGGCAAGTATGTTTCTTGTGATTGTACAGTTTTAATGTTAATGAGGCACTGTGATCTGGAAGTGTGCACGACTATGACGAGAAGCTGAAGATTGTGGAATATGTACCACTTCCTTGAGGTTACGCTAGTGCAGAATGCAACATGCAACGCATTTTCGATGAGGAAATCTTCAACTGAAGCTTAGCACCGCGTACTTTTTATTGTGTCCACCTTGTGCGTTACTTTGTTGCCCTAATTAGTCACGTCGGAGGCCAATTCCCACCAACTAGCCCAACTCACTTCACTCATACAGCATGCGACAGCCAAGCTTCTAAAATGCTCGACCCTTTCAAATTCTTGTGGCAGGTGAGGCCTGAAGCAATAAATTCCAATAGCGAGGTCATTTGATGATGAACTGAAAAAGCCCTGCAGGGCTGCTTTAAACTAATCATGATCAATGCAAATGTTAAGTCGATTGCAGCCCTTTATACGCCGATGCACAAGATGTGCTTTAAAGTACAATGTGATCCACTCACTTCCTCCAGAAGCTCATGTCCAGAAACGAGGAGATCTTGAATGGCGTTGCCAGTTTGCCCCGCCTGTTGGCAGACGAGTCTACCACGTAGTCGTCCCTACGGCTGCTCCCGCTGCCTCGCTGCTTTCGCTTCTTCTTTTTCTTTTTAGACGGCCGTGGCTTCATGGTGCGACAGCTCCGCCGACGGTCCTCGTCGTCGTACTCCTCCTCGTCCTCGTCCAGGATGCCAGAGTCTTCGGAGGAGTTGCTTGGCGTTGGACTGGCTGCCCGGCTCTCCGGCGGTGAAGGCATCGACGACTCGCTCAGGCTCTCGTCGCCGACTGTCAAAGCAATGAAGAAGCAAGCAGTGGAAGATGGCTCTGGATCGTTCAGGAAGAGGAAATGCAAGGTGAGAGGTGATGAACTGAACGGTATCCATAAAGTTTGCAGTCCCTGCACAAGGCACTGCTGGCCATGTGTCACTATATTCATGAAGCATTTGCAGGATGCCACGATCGTACAATGTATTCATTTGTCGTCAACCACGAATCATGCGAGCACGACTAGAAATTCAACATGCCTGTAAGCATATTACACTTACTAGCTGGCTTATCGCAGTACCAGTCATGTTGGGCAGGGTGAGCTGGACAGCTTTTGGGCAGCTCGCTTCTTTAACGAACATGACCAAACTGCTCCGTATTACCCAGCTAATTGATTGACATGTGCAGTTTAACGTCCTAAAACCACCAGTGCAGGGCTCCGGAAATTTCGACCACCTGTGGTTCTTAAACATGCACCCAAATCTGAGCACACCGGCCCACAGCATTTTCGCCCCCATCAAAAATGCTGCCGCCGCAGCTCAGATTCGGTCTCGCGACCTGCAAGTCAGCAGCCGAGTACCTTAGCCACTACACCACCGCGGTAGGGCACCCAGACGAGCTAATGTGAACTAAATTAACAGTACAGAAACATGACGAGACAGGAGGCAAACAGCACAGTGACTTGAGGATTGCTCAGCTAGCATTAAATAGAAAAGGAGAGTGAGACTCACTCGTGATGTCATCCGAGAGGGCGCCACCACTGAGGTCGAGCTTGCACCGCTTTTCCGCGGTCAGTCGATGGTGTTTCTTGAGCGGCCGCTTTGGCGGTTTCACCTTGCCCTTGTTCCCCGACTTCGTCCCGGGCCCTGCCCTCGCGTCAACCACCTAAAAGACCGAGGTGTCTGTTACAAAACCCGTCGACGCTTTTCGAATGTAGCTTGGAAAGCCACTTTCAACAAACAATCTGGGAGCTTCCCACAGGCTGTTTCAATTAGGAGGCCAGCTGTGACAAAAACTTTGCAGGACCAAATAGCCTTGTTTCAAATGGTGCGGTCATAGAAAAGAGGCTGAACAGAACTTTAAGATTTAAATACGAGTGAAAACTTCATGGTATTCTCTTAGCATGTAAAAAAAGCAAGACCAAAAGATTTCATGATGATATCACAAACAAACCTAGGTTACCAGTCGCACAAATATGAAAATGAAAGCAAAATTAGGGTTAACCTTCAATTGCTATGCTGCAGCTTCAGATGCCACTTTTTACTCACCAAAAAGACAGAACGGCGGGTGAAGAATAGCAGGGGCGCAACTGATGTTATGTAGCAGAAGCCAGTGCATTGTGGTCGCCAAGCCTGCTCAGCTTGTTGGTGGCATCACCATGGCCTCCGTAATCGAGAAATGTGCGCTCCAATCTCGGAGGCCATGGTGTCACTTACATAGTTAGAACAGCTTCCTCATGGCTGACGTTGGCACTGATGTGCTCAGCAAGTAGATGCGCCGTTGCCGTGGTTATGACACCTTGAGCGGTGCTGGGTGACAATTGGCGATAATTAACTCTTCAATGCCTGAATTATGAAACTGCCGAGCAAAATAAAAATTGTCTTCATTTCCCAGCTTTAAATGATTCCGCAGTTAAATTATCTAGAATGCAACTTTAATGCGCACTTTTAAGTATGTCACAAGTTTGCCATATGCCACAGAAGCAAGGACCTTGCAACAAAAAATGTGCTTCAGAACTACGTAACATGTTGTGTGCTACCTCTTCAGTGTGTACACACCAAATAAACAAAATTAATGAAGATAGGACTCCCGTCACCAAGGCGAGAAAAAAACGAAGCGAGAGCTGTCACACATGCTTCGCGCTATCCGCCATCAGCTCCAAAACCATTGGTTCTAGCTTAAAATACCCTAGATGAAACAGTGCAAGATTTTTGATGCTGAAGGCTGCATGCCCCGTTAGTACTTCACAGCCGGCATTAAAGCTGGCGTGCATTTTGTGACTTAGTTGCTCGAAGTTTGTCAGTACATCGCGAATTTTAGATATTCGGCAGTAAAGTGTTAAAATTGCTTTAATAGGTAATGGCGCTTTGTTCTTTCAGTACTTAGATATTGTGAAAGACATGGTACAGCTTTAGCCAACTGCCATAGATTGCTGGTTCAACCTATTACCAATTCACCTAACTACTGGTGCACCCAATGACCAGTTCACTTATACACCAGTGCACCAGTAAATACACCAGTGCACCTAATAACTGGTGAACAGTGCAAACGAGGCACACTCACATGATGCCAGTCTCTGGTGGTACCGGGTGGGAGCTTCTTCCAGCGCTTGACCAGAAGCACACAGGCATTGCAGATCTCGCCAGAGCGGCGATCCTCAGCCACAATGCGGAAGCAGCGCGCAAACTCGGCCTCATACTTTTTGGAGTCAGTGAATCGCGACGAGGACGACTTGGCTCGGCAGATGCAGCAGCCGAGCGCAGAGCGGTAGATCTTGGGCTTGTGGAAGCTAAACATGGCCGCCCGGTCACCAACTCCTCCAACTATGTGCCAAAGGGAAGGAGAAGACCAGTCACTCTATTTGTTACAAAAGCATGGTGAGAACAGCATAACTACACCCTATTTACACCAGGTGAAAATTACGATCCACTGTCTGCAAATGTGTATGACACGATTTCAAGGCACCCAGTATGACATACTAAGAAAACTGTATTGTGCGAATTTCAATAATTAGAGCATTCTAATTAGCATACAATTAAGTAATTGATTGACATGTGGGGCTTAACGTCCCAAAACCACCATATGATTATGAGAGACACCGTAGTTCAGGGCTCTGGAAATTTCGACCACCTGGGATTTTTTAACGTGCACCCAAATGTGCAGCATTTTCGCCTCTATCAAAAATGCAGCCACCGCAGCCGGGATTCCATCCCGCGAATGCAGGTCAACAGCCTAGTACCTTAGCCACTAGACCACAGTGGCGGGGCCATGTAATTAAATATGTAACTAATTTGCCTTGGGTCAGCTTCTATTCCCACACAAAGAGAATTAAATACGATACAAAAAAACACATGCACAGATTGTTTTTAGGTTGCATTCATTTCAAGCAAAGAAAAGAAGTACTCTTCGTCGGTCCTGGTATCAATATGGTGTACATATTAGGGTATTCTACAAAGTGATCCTTTGCAGTAATACACAAAAAAATGAAGTTAAATAACCACTAGTTGTACTAGTTTTAGAGGAACGTGCGCATTGAGTTCAGACTAGGTGCATGAAGACACACCTACTACGACCATCCACGACCGTTTACACCTCCGCTAAGGTAAAAAAGCAGCTTACACTCAGTTTCATACGTCATGTGCAACGCTGTGGAAGCTATGGAAGAAATGTGAAAAGCAAGACGTGTAAACGAACACGTCTTGAGCTAGGATTTCATCACTGTGAACAAGGCCTCCATGGATGGCTACGTCTATGAGTTGCTGGAAGTAATCGCAGAGGCCACTATAAGAACAAATGCTAAGCATTTATGAACAATCTATCGACAGTTATGTAATAAAGGAGTTTCAGGTTATTTATTTGTATGGCACAAGGCATCTTTCATTATTCCTCAGCCTAAAACCGAAAAAAAAAAAGTTACATTACCCGGGGAAAAGTTTTGAACAATGCCCTAGATCGAACGGGCGCACTGTGAGGAGTCTAGCGAGCTACCATAGCGTGCACAACCCAGCATGATGTAAGAAACGGATTACACAATCACATGCCACGCTTTTTTTTTTTTACACAAGCCTCACACAAGTGAGCCTTACGGTTTTCGATACCGCCACGAGAGGACAGTGCCGACGCGACAGCAAACCAGCGATGTCACGCGTCCAAAGGTGTCGGAACGGAAGCGCAGTAGTCGGCCAGGGGCGTACGACCTCGCACATCGCGGGGTCACGCTCCTTTTCGCCGCCTCGACCTCGACACGTATATACGCGTTCGCCGCCCCGTGGGCCGTCGCGCTCCGTGTATCGCACCGTACGCTACGAGCACGGACGGGCTGTGCCGCGCCGATCGCGCAACCGCCAGAAGGTCGTCTCCAAAGGCGCCACGACGATCTTTACACAGAAAGACGCCCCCCCCCCCCCCCCCCCCACCCTCTTCCCCGGTCTCGCCCTCCTACATTCGCGCATTACACTAAGGGTCGAAGGAAGGGCGCTATTCTTCTTCCGATTGCCGACCGGGACTCTAACCGAGCAGGGAAGGTCAAAATCGACCGAAAATTACCTCGCGACAATGCGTGAACTAGTAGTCACGGAAGACGTTAAATATTGGGAGAAGGTGCTCGGTGCGGAGTAAATGAAGCTGTTCTTCATTAGCCATTCAGGAGTACTATCCCCAAAGAAAAAAAAAGGGGGGGGGAAGCAAGTATCGCTCATTGTGGAAGGAAAGGGCTACATGCAGAGGTAACAGACTGAAGGAGACGGATTACATGAACAGGTAGCATACTAAAAGAAACGCAATACCTGCGCATTTACATGGATAAGCTTATATAGACCGGACGAAACGCGACACGTCCACGTTTACATGCATAAGTAACAGGCTACGAAAGAAACGCGATACCTCAGCGATTGCATGCGTATGACGTCCACGCTCGCCCAGGCGACCCGACATCGCCGGGGTCAGGTTTAACGATTATTACAGCGCGAGAACAAAACGACGACACAGAGACAAGAAGGACACGAAAGACACGAGTCCTTCTTGTCTCCATGTCGTCGTTTTGTTCTCGCGCTACAACTATCGTCATGCCATACCAACTAGCCGGGGTCAGGTTTAACGATTGTTACAGCGCGAGAACAAAACGACGACACAGAGACAAGAAGGACACGAAAGACACGAGTCCTTCTTGTCTCCATGTCGTCGTTTTGTTCTCGCGCTACAACTATCGTCATGCAATACCAACTAGCCCAAGCTGCCACACTCCTAAGTCAGGTTTAAGTTGCACGCTCGCCCAAATGACCCGACATCGCCGAGGTCAGGGGGTTTAGGTTACAGTAGTCCACGACGTACAATTAGCAACCGAAGACAAGGCACTTTCCGCGAACCGAAACCAAGAAAGTTTTCGCTCATATCCTCCGAATCACTGCGGTAGTAAAAAAAAAAGAACCGGGGAAAGTTCAGAGGGAGAGGGGGTGAAGATGGGTGGTCGTCGTAAGGGGGCCACATGCTCTGGTTGTGCCCTGCCAACGTGGGTACAGAATTTTCTGACCAGTCCTCCTGGGACTCCGCCCTTCGAAGCACAGAGCTCATCGCCCAGCTCAAGGCTGTCCAGAGGGCCCGGGCCGTCGCCGAGAGACTCTGTCTACCGGTCCCGACCTGGGTGGAGCCGCCGGATTGATGGCGGGGCTTTCGGCACCGCTTTCTTTCCTCTCAGGACCTTAATAAAGTTCATACTCACTCACGGGGGATCCCGACACACCGACATACTGACCCGCGATCCGTGGCGCTGCTACCTTCGAACCTCTCGACCCCGCACGCCGCTTCCCTGCTACTGCCGCTCCTGCAGGGACACCTTGACCACAGCGGCTCGCTCGTCACCAAACGCACCACCGACACCCCTTCGCCGCCTTCTTCCAGTCGCCCTGGCGCAGGCACGGTCGTCATTGACGAGTGCAGAGCAGCGGCAGTCCGCCTGCCCCGGCGGCGTACTTGGGCCCGGAGATCCGCTACAGTCGGCACCTGCCTTCTCCTCCCTGACGAACACTCCGTTCCCGTTCTTCGTAAGTGACCGCGATCAAACGACGCACGCGGCAAGACCGCGCTATCCCCTTCCCGTGAACTCAAGCGGGAAGAGATCCAGGAAGCGACGATTCGGGGGAAAGAAAACTGCCGTCACGACACCGAGGTCAGCCACGACGAAACGACGAAGGCAATGCAGTAGTTGCGTCGCAGCTGCTGGAGGCGAGGAAATGTTCCGCTGGCGATCCTCCTTTCCCTAAAGCAGCTCCTTCTTTCCCTCTTACTGCGCGGTACCACCACCACCGTCGACTGCGGATCTAACGATTTCCAGTCCGCCCCGGCGACTGCTCGCGCACTCCGCGGTGCCCGATTCCCCCCTTCTTCCCCAGCCGTGTTTCCCCAACACTCCTCCCCCGTTTTCCCCCAGCACTGCAGACTCGGGACGTTCCTTCCCAATGCCGCAGGCACCCTTCCCTTCGATCCCAGCTCCCTCCCAGCCACCACATATACATTTTTCGTTCGCATCGTGCTTCTTCGGCGTTTCCCCGGCAGCGAACACCCCTTTCCTTCGTTACCTCTCGAGTCACTCTTCCCCATTTCTTGCCACTCCCCGGGACTTTCCTGGGGAATTCCCCTTTTCCTTACATCCAGTGAAAGGAGAAGGGTGTGGAGAGAGAGCGAAAAAAAATCGATTTCTTCCCGCGAAGGAGCTGCAGCGAGCCGCCGTGCCACCGCCGCTTTCCTTACTCAACTTCGGTTTTTTTTTTCGTCTCATTTGGGGAAGGAAGAAAGCTTTATAGGGAACATTTTTTTAGCCGGGAAAAGACACTGCGGCCTCTTTCCCCCAGATTCCCAGGCGAACAATGTCTTTCCCTCGTTCACCCTCAACAGTTCCTTCTCCAAACAGTCACCGACAGGCACAAGGCAAGCGTAACCGAGACTTCACACACAAACTATAGAAGAAGAAGGACCTAACCGATAAAAAACGCGCGCACAGCAATCGTCGTTTGACACAAGGGGAGGGAGAAAAAAAAGGAAAGTCGGGAGTTTCTCAACAGCCAGCCTATACTGCCGCGCGATTTCTTGGGACATTTATTCCCTTTCGTCTCGACACTTCTTTCTCTTCGTTCCCCGAGCCGTCTAGACGACAGAAACTGCTTGTGACGAAACGCGCAGGCTACAACTTCGTGCGCTTCTCGCAAGAAGCCGACGTACATGAGTCGTCTCGTGTGTCTCACACAAGCACACATTCGTAGTGCCTCTTTCCACTTTCGTGAAACTGAGAGAGAGAAGGCAATCCCGGAGCACAGTCACATCAACGCGAGTACCGCGAAGTATGACGACAGACACACGTATCGGCGCAATAAAAAAACAAAACAAAACAACCCACGCAAAATGCCACGCAGAGGCTCCAGCTTATCGCAACAGCAGCCGGGTAACAGTGGCCGTAAGCCAGACGCCTTGTTTCGCTGGCAGCGCTGCGCAACTAGCTCATGCATCGTCGGGTGCACTTTATCGTCGGTGCTCGTTTCGTGACTGGAGACGTGACGTCGGCATGACGTACGTAAACGACCGATATGAAACCGAGCCCTGAAATAACCCTCCTCGCCCGAAAAAAAAAAGATATATAGTTCGGACGTACGGCTTCGGATAGCATGCGGCCTGTTGCTGCGCGCATGCAGGCCGCGGGTACGACTCCCGCGCCGCACTGGATGATAACGATGGCCTCTGGTCAGTTTGATGGTGGAGAACACGGACGAGTAGAAAGACACCAGCAACGCCAGTTGCTGTTTCTTCTAGTGAGTAATACTTTACATGCGTTGAG